TACAAGCTTATTAAGCTTTATAGGCCACCAAAAAGAATATATATATATATATATATATATATATATATATATATTATATATATATATATATATATATATATATATTATTAACCACAAAAAAATGGCTTGGAGACCATACAAGCTTATTAAGCTTTATAGGCCACCAAAAAGAATATATATATATATATATATATATACACATAAAACAACTATATATATAGCTACTATATAGAAACACACACACAAATATATATATATATATATTTATATATATATATTGTTGATGAAAATCACAGCATTTTCGGCGTTATTTAACTTCGTGTTTAACATTTCGACACAGCAATAATTACGGTTCCTAATATATGCTCAGGGCGGGAGTCGGATGGTGGGTTTGGACGGTCTTTTTGCACTGCTTCTGTATGAATGGTGTCGGTCTGTAGGCCTTTTAAACGTAACGATTAGCTAGGTAAGGGTCTTACTTATATCTGAAATTGGTCCTACGTTAGTGCTTAGATGAGCTTGGTCGGGATTTTCCCTGTCGGTGGTGATGGCTCTTGACATTCTTAAAGAAAATCATACTTGAAACTAAATAATAAATAGATTAAAAAATTGATAAATGATTGGAGATGATAACGAGTATTGATTAACTGACAATATTTTTAAAATAAACAAAATAAGCTAAATCGCGATAAGGCACACCATAACACCATTATGGGAGCTTCAATGCCGTTAAATTAGAACAAACAAGCAAACAAACAAACTTTTCGATTTTTCTAACGGTTGATCGTAAATCATTATCAAATTTCTTGAGTGCAAAACCAAAACTACCACTACAACCACTTTTTAAACAGATTTATTATTCAACTCTGAAAAGACCTGGATCGATAAATTGAGACATCAACATGAATATTTCAGCAGTACTCGCTGGTAATCTCTTATTTATGCATGTCATATGCTGGCAGATCATTTTTGTTTGTATTCAATTCACGAATTTTTGTTAGACGTCGTTATTTTTTACGGACATGCAAAAGTTAGGTGCGTGTTTCCAATTTTTTAGCGAAGTACCGATAAACAAATTTTGTGTGCCCCTTCCAATGTTGCAATCTTGCGTTGGCTCCTCGTTCTTCTTTGTATAACATTACAATTTACAGTTTTAGTTTTAAAATTTTATTTGATTATGAAATTATATTTACACACGACATTTTGTGTGTCTTCAATAATTTTTTTGAATTTAACAATTTTTGGACATTGTGCGTCTTGACCTAAAAATTTGAAACTGGCTACAACTTGAACCAAAGCAGTGTTTTCCATTTAAACATTTAAAAATTTTAAAAAACTTGTTTTATTTAATAATAGTTTCATTCCGTTTTCATTAGCTCCACATATTTTTTCATTTATTGCATTGAAAATTTAATTAAAGCAGGCTCTAATTACTCGACGAACAGTAGTCAATATTATCGGCTGTCATTGCGTGTCTGACAACAAACTCAACTGGCTCCATTTGCATCGTACTTTACTACCTACAACAACTACTACTACTACTACTACTGCTACTACTACTACTACTGCTACTGCTACTACTACTGCTACTACTACTGCTACTGCTGCTGCTACTACTATTACTACTACTACTACTAATTTTCAAACAGAATTAATTATTTATTCAACTCTAAAAAAAATATTTTTTATGATTTTTTTTATAATGATTTTTTTATTCAATTTCATTGAATTTATATGAATTCGTGCATGTGCGTGCATTGTATAAAGCAAATATTTTTTATTTAAATGTATGCATAACTTACACATGCGTAGAAAGCCAATGCATATATTTGGTTGCAACTTGGTTTTCAGTAAAACACAGGAAAAGAATCCTCTGAAATAAGTTCTATTCGTGTTAATCCCGACTGAAACATCACGACAATTTTCCAACGATCGTTTTAAATTTTCAATTTCAATTACTGGCGGATGAGTTTTAATGTTATCCTAGAAAATTTTATTTTTTTATTGGTAAAAATTAGAATTATTTTAATTTTATTTCACTTTTGAAAACGCTCCATGTTAATAAATCCAGTGTAACTATTCCGCCAGAGCTGAATGGTCATTTTTTGGCTTAGAAGGGACATAACATATCTAAGATCGACAATGGAACAAAAAAAACTCAATTCCGTACCTCTTCTTCATTTTCATAAAGATATGCCAAACGGAATGAACTTATTTAATTGAATGATTTAAATAAATGATTTAATTAACGAATTTATTCAAAAAAATGATAAGAAAAAAAACACTTTTTACATGTAAATATAAGTTTCAATTTGATTCTTCAACAAACATAATTTTTGCAAATACTATTATGAATGAAATTAACAGAAAAACATTTTGCTTTTTCAGATTTGAGTTTATGCTTTTTTGGGTTTACAAATTTTCCGATTTCTTCAAGTTTTATTGTATTTTAAAATTTTGCAATCTTTATACCGTCTTGTGAATTTGTGGTTTTGATGATAAATTTTTTAATGAACAATTTATCACCTTGTACAATTGGAAATTTATTGAAGAACAATTCGCAAACAAAATTATTATAGATTATTCCCGACAGTTGCAGCAGCGTGGCGAAATGCTCTTTTTCCAATGTTGGTTGACGAAATATTTTGAAAAATTGTCGGTTCTTTGGCAGAGCGAAGATGTTGATTGTTCTTATTTAGATGAAAAAGACTGTCGAGGTAGAACGGCGAGTGCGACGACAACAACCTGAAGACAATGAAGGCGATTTTATACTGAACACGGTAATGAAACGGGAGCCAGTGAAGGTTTTTTAAATTTGATGTCGCAGATATTAGACGATGAGGTGGTGTATATTGAGCACAACTGGCAGCCAGATTTGTTAGCCTCTGAAGACGTGTTTCCTGCTTCTGAGATATGCCAAACATTATTGAATTGCATTAATCAAGTTTGGACAACAACAAACAACGTGCCAGATTTCCAGCCAGATTGATTGATTATAACTGTCTGATGTAGCGTATTTCCTTAATATGATAATTACAAGCCTTTGCGATAGATGAAATATGATTTTAAAAAGTTAATTTCTTGTCGAAGACAACATAGAGTGTCTTCAAAGATATCACTGTTACCAATCCTAATTGATGTCGGGTCATGTAACCTGTTCATTGAATGAAATGAGCCCAGTATGACCTCTGTTTTATTTGAATTAAATATAAGCTTAAAATAAATACAAATAATTACAGGCAGAAAGATTGATGCTAACAGACCAGATATCACTATCATGAATGAGATTGAAAATGTAATCCTTTTGATAGAAGTATCGGCACCGACTAACTCAAATGTTATTTTGAGTGAAGCAGAAAAGAGATGCAAGTAGGTCTAGAAATCGGCAAGATTGGTGCAAGTATATTGGTCTAGAAATCGAAATTTCACGAATATGGAACGTTAAATGCAGAGTAATGCCAGTAGTTGTATGAGCTTTAGGAACTATTGGTGATGTGACGATAAAAAAGCTTGAAATGATCCCTGGAAAGCCAAAAAAAGAAATTTAGAAAATTGCTCATATACTTAGAATGATTTTTTGATGATATATTTGGACTCAGATAAGCCCTTGAGTCATCTGTAAATCGTCTTAGACCATGATTAACGAACAATAAAAATAATAATATTATTACTATTATTATTATTATAACAATAATAAATCACCGGTGTTTGTAAGTAGCGTCGTTAACAAACTATTTAAAAAGCTCTACTTAACAGCAAAAAACATTTGAGTTTTATAATTGAGTTAGTTCGTGTTTTAATATAATAATAAATGCATGCTTTTATTGTTCATTATTAAAGTTTCAGATATATATTTTTTATCTAGTGATCTATTTCTGCTTGTTGAATGTTCTAATGTTGGCATAGGTTGTTGATTAGTAAAACACGATAGATCGGGTAGCTCCTTTAACACGCTGCAGCTCAGTTCAAAAAACTTTTTCAAATTTTTTATTATGAAATTTAAACAATGTTGTTTAATGTTCGGATTTTTATTTTTAATCAAATTTTTGATAATATTTCCAAAGTTAGTTTGAACTTAGTTAAAAACTCTTAAAGATCAATTTGGGACCAAATAAAGGTAGTTGTCGCAAGTTGTGCAGACGGTCTGTATCGTTCACATTTAGTATGGTTTTTTACCACGCCAATTACCTCTGAAAATTTATAAAATTTTAATTTGGCAACAATTTTTGACTAAAAAAGTATATGATTTAATATATATTATTAAATTAGTTAAATTGAAACGCAAATAATCTCACGGCGGTAAATAGTTGCAGACAATGATGTGTCCACTGGAGTAGCCAGCAATTGAAATGCCATTGTTGCACACCTGAACTGCGCAACCTACTTCAGTGGTCGTCGCCCAAACTATCTGTTTGTTTCATTTGTATGAAAAGTTACACATATGCATGTAACGATGATGCCCAGTTGCATACCTGTGTGTAGTGGCCACACATTTTATTGGACCGGCAAGTGTTACTGCTGTAGTTGTAGTAAGGTTTCTCGTCATACCAGCTCTGAATGGCGGATTCGAAATTAACATTTGGTGATGATGACACGTACAGGTTTTGTCCAATGTAGCCATCATTTTTGGCTTCTGCTGGCTGGCCGTGTTCGAACGAACATCTCTGAGCCCATGATGCTGCGTAGTTCGCCAACTTGCTGCTCCATTTCTGGAAATCATTCAAAGGTTAAAAGGATAAAGGTCAATTACACTCTTCCAAAGTTTTGAGGATTCAACAAAACGTCCCAAACACGTATATGAATACATGCTTAGCGACGCATCACAGACGGGGATGTGATAAGCGGGAATCTCTTTGTCATATTCGAATCTGGTTACTGCGAAACAGCAGGCAAGCCCAACCACTAGGCCGTCACGCCGCCCTTCAAACATTTTCACACATCGTACCGAAGCTTATGTACTTGGATAGTAAAAATTTATCAAAATGTAAAAATATTTAGTTGAAAAATTTTCTGTACGTTTTTAAAATATTGTTCAATAAATTAAATAAATTTTCTAAATTACGTTTTCCCAGAATAAATTTTTCGATTGAAGTAGATTTGAAAATAGATTAAATTTGCATAATTTATATATATTTTTTTGACTTATTTTCTTAATTTAACAAAGTTAGCACTAGGCCTATTAGCGATGATTTTTTAAAATTTAAATTATCGTCAAATGAAGCAGGATTTCAGTGAGCGCTCTCTGTGTGCCAGATTAGTTTTTTTAAAAACAGTTTATTATTAAAAAAATTGTCAAGAGGCCATTCAAAACTTACGCCACGCAGCGTGACAATGTGTAACAGGGGGAGAGAGGGGGTTGACCTGATGCGTACGTACGGATACTGTCTTTAGGCTGCTGCCGAAGTTCAGATACGTTTCAACCTGCCAGGTCTGGTAACGTTCAATATTTAGGCAGAGCACTGCTGCTACCATTTCAGTTTTAAATATTTTCAAATTAAAATGTGGTTCCATGATGGACCATATGAGCCTCTGAAAGACACGCCCACTTTATAAAAGTTATTTTAATGTAAAAATCATCTGCATCATCAATGTAAGACTATTTTGACATTGATATATAGACCCACCAATGTTAGGTGATGTGTGTGGACCATCACTAAATGTAGACATTTATTCTATTGCAATTTTCAAGTTTCGGATGTTTACTGTTCAATTTTAATATTAAGCAACAGAAAAGAAAACACACACAATTTTTTGTGTACAGGATTGAATGTAGACAATGCTGGCAATGATACACGCATTTCATTGGTTCCCACGGAGCCACATCTGGCAACAGTATGGACCGAACTGTCGAATTAGACATGAGCATGAACTGGATCGTTACGAGAGACAGGTTTATTCTGATTTAAAACTTTGTACTTAGGTCATTATAGTATCTTTAATCTGTTAATTTATTAATAGATTATAGGTTGTAGAATGGGAGGGGATGGTCAGCTGGGCGTGACCGGATGTGACATAGAAAAGGGGAGGGGTTGAAAATGACGTAAAAACCGTGACATGATTATTGAATCGCCCTGTGGTACATTCCCTTGTTACATCAAATTTATGCTTAATGCGCCTCATTATTTTACAACTGATTGAACTTGATAAAGAGCTGTGTAAGCAGCATTTAACGCGCAATAAGAAATCCAATTTATAAACAAAAAACACCAAGCAACATACCATTGGAAGCATGTTAGGAGATCTTTCTTGCGCTCTCAGGAGATTGTGCTTATCAACGATCCTCTTCACGTCGCTACTAGATGGAACCTCTGCGTAGCTGGCTACGAAGGATCCGACCACCAGGAACCTGAAGAGTAAACAATTCATCGTTGCTTATCAAATCAGTGCTTACAAACTAAACTAAATTTCAACAAATTCTCAGCTATTTTATAGTTTCCAAATAATTTATAAGAGTATATATCATATGCCTTATATATATATATATATATATATATATATATATATATATATATATATATATATATATATATATATAAGGCATGAAAAAAAGTTTTGTTTGTCTAAATGTCGAATCAAATTAAAACACGTTCCAGTGCTCTTTGCAAACAACCAACTTCGGTTTTATCGATTTAACGAATCAACAAACGACAGACAAAAAATTGAGCAAACAGTTTGTGAGTTTTGTAAAATTTTCAGCGTTGGTAAATAAATTTAAACAATTATAAAGCACGATTGAAAGATGATTGTAAACAGAGCGAATAAATTTTAAAAATTTTTATTATATCGTGTTTACTCTATATTTTTAAAAAAAAGCTTGTTTAGTACTTTTATTATTTGAATTAAAAATGTATCTAAAATTCAAATGTTATGCAGGCGACACTTATTGCAGCGCCAACCTTAGAAGAAAGCGAAGGCAGACATCTAGTAACGAGGAGGCTCAAATGCAGCTAGCAACCTTCCTCTTGAGCAACCGAATGGACTCGCAAAAAACTTTTTAGTTTTTTAACACCCAAAAATTTTCTCCGTACTCTTAGAATATGGATAAAAATCAAGTTTCAATTAAATATTTGGAACTTGCGTTCGACACGTTCATCAATCTACAATAACCTGAGAAAAAACCCAGCGTTAACAAACGCTTAGCCAGATGAAAATGTTTGCTTGTAAGGACCGCTGTCAACAAAGCCGCTCTTCTGAATGGCGTCGCAGCTTTCGTCATGTTGTCGTTTAAATTAAACAGAGTAATTGATGATTTGTTCTCATAAGATTCGGAAGTCGATGAGTTTACATCAGCTCCAAACTCAACTTTAAATGACATCGTCAACAAACACGCACCACCCAAGCATTACTCTTCCCGTGAGAGCTCCCACTCTCGATGTTCTTTACTCCAAGAAACAGTAACTACTAGAAGAAATTGCCGTCGTATGGAGCGTCACTACAAATATGACAAATCAGCGCTCAATTTCGTCAACTACAAAATGCTAAACGTGCTGCTCGTGATGCATTGTGAGGTCTAGGATCGATTCTATTAAGAACACTCTCAACAACTGCAGCAACTCTCGTGATCTCTGACATTTTTTTTCAACAACATCCTTTATAAACGCTCAGATCATCATATTTCTTATGCTGAATTTCTTACTTTTGTACCTTCTTTTGCTAACTTTTTCAAGGACATAATAAATTCTATTCATCAATCTATTGCTACAACAACAATTGCTTCTTCTAGCATTTCTTTTTCAAACCATAGATTTTTTTCTTCTTCACTTTTTTCTTCTTTTTCAGTTGTCACCTTAGAAAAAGTTCTAAAGCTCCTTAACTCCTTGCTCAACAAAACTCCTCCACTTGACTTTATTTCGGCTTTTATTTATTCTTAAAAAATTTTCTCATCTTTTTTGCTTCATTACTATCTAAGCTCTGCAATAATTATTATTGTTATTAGTATTATTGTTATTATTATTATTGATATTATTATTATTATAAATATTATTGTTACTAATTATTCTTATTCTTTTAATAATTTTTATTATTTTATAGACGGATCATAACAGCAGACGTTCTGTTTACTGGAATCCTGTTCAATATAACTTGCTAACGAGATTCTGGACATTTTCAATAAACCCACTGGAGTTTTAAATGAAATAATTTATTTAAATATGTATTGTCAATAATAAATAATATGAATAACATAAAATATAAATAATATTATGATATGATTCTAATATAAAAATAATATTATTATTGTTAGTATTATCATTATTATTACTGTTATCATTATCATTATTATTATATTTTAATTTTCGTTATAATTAATTTAAATGATAGAACAGAATAATTTAATTTCCAAATTTAAAAAATCGGTAGCATAAGTAACAAAGTAGTAATTATAACATAACCAGATGCAACTAGATTTTTTCTAGCCTGAATGGACTTGGTACGAACTCTGTCGGTAACGCCTTTCAATTTAGATATTATAATGGTTGAATTCTTAGAAATCTCAGACGTGTTATCTGTTCTTATTAATTTATGTAAGTTCAACAAGATTATTAATTCAATTAAGTTATTATTTATTATCGTTATAAGTTTCTTGAGGGATATTAATCACAATTTTAATATATACAAAATTTTGGTAAAAAATTGTTTCTAAACAATTTTAATGTTAATACGTTACTAATTTTGTTGTCACTTACTAAATAAATAATGAATTATATCGCGATACCGATAATTACAATCTTGCTGTCACTAGCATTCGGACCGACTGAGCAGCATCAAATATTAATGATCCCAAACTCAGTGAACTCGCATCTAATTTATTATTCGAGACTCGGTTTTGAATTATCAAAGCTTGGACATCAAGTGGAAATACTCGTAGCTTCCAACGCTAAAATACTCGATAATTACTCGACCAATAATTATACCGTAACAAAATATCCTGTCGAAAACAACGAACTAATATTCAATAGTAAGAAAATGTCGGAAAATATTCTCAGGTATGCAACAAGCAGAAAAAGTTTGTTCGACTTTTGGAATCTGTTGCTGTGGTTTGACGAAATATTCAAAATAACAGACGGGCATTGTAGATCTCTGCTGAATAACGACGCACTTATGCACAGACTTGTCAAGAAGAGCAACTTCAGTTTTGTCATCTTGGACGTCGGTAGCAACGACTGCTATGTATGTCTAGTTAAAAAATTAAAAGTGATGTACTCTAATTTGGCGATACCGATTCTGCCGATTCTTCACGGTAATCCGCGTCTTCCCTCTCTGGCTTCAAATGCTGCCGTAAAACAAAGTAGCAAGTACATGAGCTTTTACCAGCGAATAACAAATTTTTTGTGGGATCTGATGTTTATTGTTGCGTTAAATTTATCCAGAAGGTGTGATTTCGTCAAAGAATTTGGTTTAGACAAAGAAGGCTACAAACAAGAATCAAAATTGGAAGTTTTAAATAATGCCGCGCTTCATTTCTATCTGGAAGATTCGACGTTGAGCTATCCGAAACCATATATGCCGGATACAATTTCAGTAGGAGATTTAATCGTCGGATATCCGCTAAACCCTCTACCGGAAGAATTTGACAAATTTATGGAAAAATCCAAAACAGTTTTGATATCATTTGGGAGTTATATTGATTATTTGGACGTATTAATCTATAAAAAATTTTGTACCGCTATAAAAATGTTACCAGATGTTAAATTCATTTGGAGGTCTAAAAACTCAAAAGTATGCGGAGATATCTTGTCGAATGTTTTATTTCGTTCTTGGATTCCACAGAACGATTTGTTGGCGGACAGCAGGTTGAACCTCTTTATAACGCACGGAGGATACAACAGCCTGATGGAGAGTGTGTACCATGCAACTCCTGTCATCGTCTTTCCACTCATGGGTGACCAGGTTAACATGGCTTCGGTGGCTGTTGGAAAAACGTACGGCTTGGAAATGGATCTAGGCAACTGGGAGGCCGAAGAATTAGTGAAGAACATCAAACAAGTAATGGAAAACGACATCTACAGAGGAAATATAAGTAAGGCATCAAGCATGATGAGAGATAGGAAAGTTACTGCTGGGCAGAGAGCCTCAGATGCTATAAATCATGTTGTAAAATTTGGAACAAAACATTTGAAATCATCCTCATTGCATTTAAATTGGTTTCAGTTCTTCATGTTTGATATTTTTTTTCTGCTCTCAGTTGTTTTCGTACTCCTTTCAATCATCTTGTTTTACGTTTTTTACAAAACACTTTATATTCTTTATTATGTTTTCAGTAAAAGAAAAAGAATGCTTGTTGTTTTACTAATTTTACTTTTTACATTTGATTGGAATTATATTACATTGACGTAAGAAGTTCTTCATTGAACAAAGAACAAAATTCTATAAAAAAATTTTTTAATACAAAATACGTGCTGTTTTTTTCATGGAATTTGCTCAACATCTGGATATATCAACAGTTGAGATTTGTTACTTTAAGATAAAATTTTTAGTCTTAAAGGTTTACCATATCTGAAGTTCTGAAAAAATTAAGATGTGTTTCGTTGACAATCCATCTATATTACTTTTTAAAAATTGTTTGAGAATAATTTTTGAAAACGCTTCAAATATTGTACAAAATTTTAGACATATGCAAGTAACCGTTGAATGCCTAAATGATCTCACATTGGAACAACATTTTATTACAACAAATCGATTTTCAGATAGTTTGATGTAATTAGAACGAAACAAAATAAATATTTTGATTTTGTTATTGACAGTAGTAAAATTTTAGCAAAGGATATGAACTATAACACCTAATTAAAATATTACCCGATTAACGAATTCATGTATGGAATATATTGAACATGAGACTTCTAAGTTAAAGCTATTAAAAATGGTTATGACTACAGTTGTTACAAATGTAGTAACATTTATACTTTTTACAACAAATTTTTTAAACACATACAGACAAATGCATCCAAACTTATTTAAAAAAACAAACACCTCATTATAAACAAGAGTGTACACACTTTCAAACTGAGAAAAGACGCATTCTCAAACAGCAATGCACACATACACGAACCTTCACAAACATACAAATATCTATGCACAATACACGCGCTGCAAAAACATACCTGCACAGGCACACACACACTCATTTGGTTGCCAGTAGGCCTGCTGGCATTGTTTAGGGCTTATTTAATATATTTCCTACATGCCTTTTGGATGTTTAGAGATTTAAAAAATATTAGATAATTAGTTTTTCTCCTTAGTTAACTCGTTTTAATAAAGACATTGATTAATCATGTTTTTAACGCTATCGATTTTTATATCTATATTTAATATTATCATAAAAATTAATAATTAGCTGGTGGTTTTAAAGTCGCAGGTCCAACAGTTTGGCGGACAGACTGCGTCAACCAGGATTGACTTCAACAACTTCGCAGAGAACTGAAAACGTTTTTCTTCATGTATCAATTTTACTAGGTTCAAGATGCGCCTCTGAGTAATATTAAAGGACGTTATATAAATTTTCCAACAATAATAATAATAATTAAATGGTAGTCTTTTAATATTAAATTTTCAACAATTTTGAAAAATTTGTTGATTGACACGACTCATAAAGTTTCTGTTACTTTTCTATCCCTTGCCTATTTTGACCAAAGTGCTCTAAAATTATTTAAAATTTCACAAATCAAAAACTCACTTTGAAACTTATTCAGCGCATCACAAATAAATGTCTATAGCGCAAAATGTGTGCAATTTATAAAAAAAATTCAATTGATTGTAATCGGGTCTATGCTTGTTATTAAAATTTTTTATTCTTTGTTGTATTCTTTGTACGCCAAAAGTTGATTCTTTTTTGTGTGAATTCTATTCAATTCAAGCCATCATTCAAAATTTTCAGACCACGTAGGCAATCAGTTGCCCGTATTTTTTCTCGCACTTTATAACTTACTTGTTTAGGGCTTGTTTAATATATTTCTTACATGCCTTGTTCTGTTTTTCTCCTTAGTTAACTCGTATTAATGAAAACATTTTTTAATCAGGTTTTCAATCAATCAATTAATCAATCAATCAATTAGCTTATAAAGCGCTATTTCCGCGATGTTCAACAGCGCTCCTCAATGAATTTTGAAAACAGATGGGTCTTGAGATCCGCTCTGAACTTTGCAAATGGTGGAGAAGTAGTCAGAGAAGTAAGTAGAAAGTTCCAGAGAAAAGGACTAGAAAAAGCAAAAGCAGATTTGGCAAAAGAGTGTTTAACACGATAAAGAAAATAAATGTTATTAAGAAAATTCAATGTTATAAATTTCCATATCTATATTTAATATTATCATGAAAACTAATAATTAAACCGTGGTTTTGCAGTCGCAGGTTCAACAATTTGGAGGACAGTATGAGTCAACCAAGATTGATTTTAACAACTTTGCAGAGAACTGAAATCGTCTTTCTTAATGCATCAATTCCACTAGGCTCAACAAAGGCTTCTGAGTAATATTAAAGGGCACTATATAAATTTTCAAATAACGATAATAATAATAATAATTAATTGGTAATCTTAAGATATTAAATTTTTTGTGACATTTTATAAAAATTTGTAGATTGACACAACTTAAAAAGTTTCTGTTAGAGTATTCTGTCACTTGCCTATTTTCACCATAGTGCTTTAAATTTATTTAAAATATCACAATTCAAAAACTAACTTTGAAACTTATTTAGCGTGTGCAATTTATAAAATTAACTTAAGTGATTGTAATCAGATCTATGCTGGTTATTGGATTTTTATATTCTTTGTAGTATTCTTTGTACGCCCAAAGTCGATTCTTTTTGTGTGATTTCTATATAATAAGAATTCAATTCAAGACTTCATTCAAAATTTTCAAACCTCGCAGGCAATCAGTTTACCGTATTTTTTCTCGCACTTTATAACCTACCTGTCGTAGTGATGTCTGAAGAAGCAAGAAACATCGTGAAGACGGTCAACGAAGTGTTGCATGACTGCGTGGATAAATGCAACCGGGATTGTTTGGTGTTTGAATATCAAACGTTTGTAAAGCTAATGATAGAAAACAAGTGGTATCATGATTTATCGGATGAAGAAGTTAAATTGTTTTCTAACATTATTTTACATAAAAATTCACCTTCATCAAGTGAGGAGAGTGAGTTAATGAAACGAATTCACTCATTCTCAGCCGAGAAACAATACAAGTTGTTTAGAATTTCTCAGGATATATATTTCGACAACATCTTGCAAAGACCAATTTTGAAAAGCGAAACCTGGACAGTCGTACGTTCTCGTCGAATGGGGATCATGAGGGCAAAGGTCAAAATATTTGACACATACTTTCATTCGTTGGCACGAAAACGAATTTATGTGATGAACTACATTCACGGCAAATTTCAACACGATGAGTGTTGCATCTGTCTTGAAAAATTTACAGACAACACCCTTGTGCACGAATTAAATTGCACTCATATGCTCCATGCATGGTGCTCACGTCAGTGGCTGTTGATGAAAACTTCATGTCCCCTCTGCCGCAGTGAGGTCGTGCGGTTGAGAAAGTACAGGGATGAAATCAAGCTCGAAGATGGAATTGTTATTATTTCCATAACAGCTGAAGCAGTCTACCGTTGACAGTTTTCAATTCACATTTTGTTTGGAACATTTATTTTGTGAAATCGACTCGTAACAATTTTAATAATATTTATAGTCATAATAATAATTATTATAGTTATAACCGAACCGTCTCAGCTGTATATTAATGTATGAAGAGTGAAGAAGGCGGAGGTTATATATTCCTTCCCCCTTTGCTTCCATTCTAGTTTACCTGCTTGTTCGCATGTCTCGTTTGGTTTCTCGTTTGCTTTTCCTATGTTCCCATTTTTATTATTGACTTTCATTTTGATCATTGAAAAAACATAAATAATGTGAATAAGGTATAAACGATATTTAATCCCACTGTCTGTTAAATGCGTTTGTAGTGAAAGGTCATTATTGTTAATTAAAATAAATTGAGTTAAGTTAAAACACCGTCTTTGAGAATAAAGTTGAATTTAGGCTTCGTTACTGATGGATGAAACGGGTTAAAGGCAATACATGTCTACTTAATTTTAAATAGATTATTATTTATAATAAAATGAAGTCATTTGTCAACAAAATAAAAGTGAATGTAAAAGGAGACTGCAGAAGTGGTTTCAATGAAAACATTTTAGAAGATATATTTGCAATCAGAGGAAATTTTCATCTTTTTGAAACAATCATATATTTATATTAGTGATTTCAAAATATCTTTGTAATGATTGTTTTAATTTGTTGAAAAAAATATTAGAAACGTTTCCTTTTATACTTACAAAATTAAAAAATAATTTTTGTTGTTGATTTCTTATCATTCACAATCTAAAATTTAATTCAAATTGGCATATCCGCTACATGTTCTTATGGAACTATGCTTGAAAAAAAATTAAATTTTGGAGCAAAACCGAAAACCAAAAAAAAACGATATTATTTCAGGAACGAAAACCGGAACCAAACTGAAATTCGTTTTGCTGATTGAACTGAAACCGTAAATCGAAACGAAGAAAATTACGGTTCGATGCCCTTTTTTATCTAAAATTTGACAAAGTTATCCACAGGAACGCAGAAAATTATTGCACATCAAAAACATAGAATGTTTTGCAATAATCTTATGTACAATGACATGATAATTAGATGATGAACAAGACAACTATGTATTGATTGATTTTCAAAATAAGAAGCTAAATTATATCTTGCAAGAATGTTGCTTTTTATCAATTTAATCGTGAAATTAACTTTTTTTACTGCTTGTACGTAGGATTTGTAGGATATATCCGCCATGCCACTCATTATGTCTGGAATTCTCTACCAGCCAGTGTCGGATCTAGGGGTAGCACTGCCTCCCTCTCGGTTGTCAGCAGTTTTCTAATAAAAATAAAAAAAAGACCGTTTAATTTGTAAAATCGATTAAAAATTGAACGTGATAAGCCAGTAAAAGGTTGTCAGCCACACTACCACAACTTTCGCCCCACCATATGAAAATTTAAACATTTTCAAGTTTTCGGCCTTCCAGTAAAATTACCTAGATCTGCCACTATTTTCACCAGACATCAGAATTGCAATTCCATTCTGTCATTCAAGTTGTCATTGGAATCTTTTTATTTTACAAAAGCTTTACAAACTTTTGACTGATGATATTCTGTTTTGTGGACGCCTCAGACGCTTGCCAGGGCGATTTATATTAAGTGACAATATTATTATTAATATTATTATTATTTTTTTTATTATGAGAGCCGGTCGATTTTAATCTGCTCACTGTTTTTACCTACTTTAATTTGGTTTTATAAAGTTTAATAATATAAAAATTAGTTGTAAAGATGCGGAAAATTCTGTCGATTAAGCTAGTTTTAATAAAATCTAATTTTAAATATTTGTTTAGTTTTATTTTGCTTTTAAATATAATTTCAACAGTTAACGCGGGTAAATGCCCACATTGTTTTAAAGAGTTTATAAATGTAGGAAGACACTCCTGGAGGTGCACTAAAACAACGTTGAATAATAATGACAATTTTAATATACGCAGCTCGCCGAAAAATAATATTGTGATATCTCCTAACATTTTTGATAGTTTTGAAAGTAACGATATTTTAACTAATAATGATAATAATTTAATTCCATGTTGTTGTGGTAAGAGTTGCAAGGGTCGGAAGGGCCTGAAATTACACCAACGTTCCTGCAAAATGTTTAAAAATCTTAGGAATGCACTAGAAACCCCAGAGGAATCTGACAAAATTTGGAACTGTCGCCACCACCACAACGCGAACAAGCATTCCTTGAAAGGTTGGACAGCAACATCATGGAAACTCCTCTCATTGGAATAAAACTACCAAAGACCCTAAAACATTGGACGGAAGCAAATACATACTTCCAACTCCACAGAACGTCCTTACCAAATGTATCCGACATCAACAATTTCACCACCTCATTCCAATCACTGATATACAATTATTTTGCATCCAACTACGGCACGTTAAAGCCACAAGATTTATCGACACTCCAATAAAACAGTCAAAAACATGAAGAAGGACCTAAAACAGTTAAAATTACTTGGCCGCAACGACCACATGAAAATCAGCACATTAAGCAAATAAATAAGAACAGAACTGTTATCAATGAAAAATGCAAAAACTGAGAAACATGTCGACATAACAAAACAACTGAAAGTCAAATTCTGGTCAACATGCAAAAAACTGTTCAACCCATCAAACAGCTTAAACCCATCATTCAGCATCGACGACTGCAAGAAATATTTTTACAACATACTCCACGACCCATTTCATAACAAGTTTCGCCTCTCGAACTGGGTTCCAACATTGCAACAACCAACAATTTCATGCAACATCGACCCCCCAAAATACCACGAAATAGCAACAGTCATTAGAAAATGCAAACTTAGAGCATCCCCCTGTCCACTTGATCAAATCTCAATAATTGTCTTCAAAAAATGCCCTATGCTGCGCACATTCCTTCACCAATTAATAGTCGAATGCTGGAGGTCTGCTACGATTCCATCCTGTTGGAGAAAGGGTTTCACCATTTTAATCTATAAAAAAGGTGAACCCAATGACCCATCTAACTTTAGACCGATAATGCTCCAACCGGTTCTCTACAAGATCTTCTCTACATGCCTCAACAACAGAATGCACAAATATCTGGAAAACAACAGCTTCATCAACACCTTGATACAAAAGGGCTTCAATCCAAAATTGGACGGAGTGACGGAACACACTCATCTACTTACCCACTTGACGAAAGATGCGAAAAAACTTCATCGAACGATCATCGTCAACCTTCTAGATCTTAGAAATGCATTTGGTGAGGTTAGTCACGGTCTCATCTCATCTGTTCTAAAATACCATCATATACCGGACCAGATGTGCAACTTAATTGATTCTATTTAAGCCGAATATTCAACAACAGTATCAGTACACCGCCGATGTTTTCCCTATAATTGAAAAATATAGTTTCAGATACCATGCCTTTGCGAATCATTTGCAAATAATTGGTTGCGGTAACACAGACCCTGGTTTTGATGGGATGGTTGATAGATTTTCATGTTGTTTCAACGAATTAAATGAATGGATGGTAAATAATAAGCTAAAACTAAACGAAAACAAAACACAAATTTTTAATCAAATGATTCCATTTAATTTTATTGTTTTAAAAATATTTTCTAGTCAAGTAAATCTTTTGTATTAGTTATTTGATAAAACCCATGCAATTTCGTAAGTAAGCCAACTAACTTTATTTATTCAAATCTGCTGAATTAATTAGTAGAAGCTGCTCGCTTGGCTTTAACAACGTGGACCCAGAGAAATTCAACTATGGCCATTAAATACATATACATTCTCACACACGTACATATATGCAAACAAACGTAAAAACAAAATTTTTAATCTGAAAATTTTTTAAAATTGAAAATTTAATTTTGCGGGCTGTTTTTTAAATAACGCACTTAAATTCATATCCGCAGCAAACCGCACAAACAAAATCCGCAAAATTTAGAAATTTTTATCCTCAACTGCGGTTTGAAACAGCATTGCGGATATCCGCTTGGGTCATTACCATACACACGGTTTGCTGAGTTTACTGCCATTAACCTAAAATTTGCAGTCTTATTCAGTCAGAACTAAGATACATGACTGTGTTATTTATCTAGTTGACGTGCCGAGATGCTTGTAAAATGGCTCTATTTTTTAGCTAAATTACATGACATTCGACAGATAGGTAATATATTCATGGAATGTTTGCTTGAAATGAATAAATTAAATTTAAAACTTCACACAATGCTAAGCAATACCGTGCAATTCCGTGCATGTGGAACGGGAAAACGATGATGGGTGGATAAGAGGAGTCTGCACTTTGAATTGTTGTATGAAAGAGAAACCGACGCCAACTTATTTTTCGTTTTTTAGAAATTATTTCCTCCATTGATTTTGTGCGGTCTTTACAATCAGCATCATTTGTTATTGGAAGTGCAGATTCAGGTTGGAGCAAAACAAAAGAATTTGTTCATGTTATCAGTCACTTTTTTACATTTGATTTTTAATTTGTAACTGACGAAGATATTGCGAATAATTGTAATCATGTGTATAAATAACGTTGGTTAAATTTTACCCGAGCAAGGTTTTAATTTGTTCAAATTAATTTAGTTCAAATGACGTATTTGGTTAATTATTAATTCACCAATTCACTCATTTAATCATAAGATTGTTCATCCAAAAACGCGACTATCCTGAAAATTTCAGTCCGTTACGAAAATCAAAAGTTGGTTGGATTCTGCACGCTATGATGACTCGAAAAGCGAGCAAGGGAAAGAAAGTTAACATTAATCTGGCGGCAGGCGTGTGTTATCGTGTTTCATTTTGACTTTTAAATTCAACTGTTTTAATCAATTTGGGTTATTTTTATATTAACATTTTATTGAATATTATTAAAACCAAAAATATTGAGAGCGCGTTCGACTGAGAACGTTTTCTAAAAACCTAAATACTCAATCTTCTTCCAATATCTAATACTTGCGTGATATGTTTGCATTCTATGATGCACAATTTCACATTTGTCAGTTTTCCATTAAACGGTTTGCCGAATGTTTTTAACAGAAAGCTGCTAATTAACATTTTGTCCTGGATGAATAACTGTTTCTATAACTGAGTAATTATAATATATTTGGTCAATGAATTTCGCGCGATGATAAGTTTGTTCGTCTAACAGTCGACCGACAATTTATGTTTTTGTTGTAGATTTAGAAACCAAATACAATTGTAAATTATTTTTTTCTTATATTATATTCAACTTAGCTTTCAAAATACAAAATGTGTAAATTTATATATAAAAAAACAAAACTATAAAAATTATATAATGCTATAAAGTCTGCCAAAAAGCTGAAAAGCATACTTTTAAGGTATAAATGTTCAGTGCGTAAATGTTAAAAGGTAGTAAAAAAAATGAAAAAAAAAAATAGAGGGCCACAAATTTTGGTGAAGTTAACTACTTGACTTCATGAAAATCTGCAAGCCAGATTCATTGGAGCAAGGACTCTGTACTGCTCGAAGCCGTCGACGCCGATGATTCACTGCTGCTCGAGTCTGATACTTCACCCAGAAAATAAGAAATGGCTTTAGGAACAATCTTTTCCTTGATGTACAAGCCCAGTGCGTAGTCTGCCTCCAGCTCCTCGCGTTGCTTGGCGTTCTGGTAGGGGATGAAGTGTTTCATTAGAAATAAGTACCTGCTTAATTACTTTTTTAAAATTTACTTACTAGTACATCATTTTCGGAATCTGAAATGGAAATTAAATTTTTATATTTTAATTCCAGTTTCCTGCAGCAAAAGCTCAAACGAAATGTAAAATGAAAATTTCAAATCAAAATAATTTTTAAAGATTAAAAAAATTGCCTCGTAGACGTTTGTTTATGTTTTAAAAAAGTGTATACTCTAACGAAAGAAAACTTGAAATGAAAACCCACATTCCGGTGTGGAGAAAAAGTTGAAGAAGGATTCCTTACTGTAATGCATGACTACCATCTTCTTACCTTTCTTGTTCTTGTCATTCTTCAACGATCTCACTTCAATCTCCGTAACGTTCATTCCTGGCTTCCAATAAATCTGACAGCTTTCAAACGTTACAATATCGTTATTATAAGATGAACCTTAGTTTTGATCTTTGTTGGTGACCAAAATTTGCTCAAACTATTTTTTGGACATCCACTAAACATCCTGAATCATCTACTTGCCGTTCAAACGTCTACATTTACAATTGGATAAAAACTGATAAATGAACATGTACCCTCGGCTTCTGACCACTTGTGGCGCTGAATACGCCAACTTTTTGTCCGCGCCGACCGGCTGCAGCTGAATGAAGTACTCCTTGCTCAGAATGGAGTTAGTGAAGTAGTCGTTCGTGTCGAAATGAAACTCCAGCATGAAGCTCTGGTTAGAATATTAAAATCAGATTATAAGATTGTTAGATTAAGTTCAATGTTAAATTTCCAGTCAACTGAAAGCAACTCTGATAAAGATAAACAAGGCACACCATATCTCCATTCAGATCCAATACCGAAAATTTGATTAGAATTTTAACAACAGTAGTTTCAAACACCTGTACAAATGACACTCATCTGGACCAACTTACATAATTTTTCTGGTTCTGCAAGTTGGACATATCTGTTTTGACCTTGACGTTCTTCAAACAATAGAGTATGGGCTGGTCAACTATCTGCAATTTGAGGTTTGTTGAGGTTGCTGCTGCCAGGTAACTTAAATACTTATTTTAATACAAATGAAAAATTTGTAAAAATTACTGAAATACTTAAACAAAAAAATTGCAATGTGAACTTTCATAATCATTAATTAATAACCAAAAGTTATATATTTTAATTAATCCGCCATCCAAACATTACCAACATTGCTCAAACTAGGGAGGTACTTATGAACTTTGTTTGTTTGATGTGATACATTCAGTAAAATTGAAATAATTTAATTACTTTAAAAATTAATCCTTAAAAAATCCTTGAAAACTCAAAAAAGTTTTGCAAATTTCAACAGACAACAATCGTTTTAGAAACAGTTGTAGTTCGAGTATAAGATTGTTCTGGGAAGTGTTGGATGCTAAATATACCTAACTCCAAGCCAGTTTTATTTACCATTGCAACTATGGCCATGTTTCTATTAAACGGAATGCAATGAAAATGGAAAACATTCAACCAAAAAATTTGGTTGATTGTAGTAAATTTTTTTGTAAATCTTTAGCACACTTGCCAACCAGGACGAATATTCAACTTGGGATATTAGAGAACAGTTACATAATTAGTTGAATAACTGGACCCAATAGGCCCTTCTGACCACCAACCTGGATCTCCCTGAGCATGGTTTTGGAGTTTGTGAAGACGCGGTACCAGAAGGCAGGGACATTCTTACTGGTGTTTGTTTGGGAGAGTGAGGACATTTCCGTGTCGGATCTGAAGTTCTTGGCCTGGTTCTTCGGTGGCGGTGACTGCATGCATGGTGGGTTTAAATGTTGGGTGAGGCCTGAAATATTGTGTGCTCGTAGATTTCATTCGTTCGTTCGTTCATTCATTCATTCATTCATTCGTTCGTTCATTCATTCATTCATTCATTCATTCTTTCATTCTTTTATTCGTTCGTTCATTCGTTCATTCATTCATTCATTCATCTACTCATCTATTTAATAATTTTTGAACTATTTGCTTCTTATTCATTCAATAATTTTATTTATTCATTATTTAATTTATTATTAACTTAATTATTTAACTAATTTAATATAAATTCTATCAGGCATTTTTAAAACTTGTGATGTTTTATTGTCGTAGTTTCATTAAATTAATATTATGAAATTTTTTTTATTGACAGGAACAGCTAAATGATTCTGAATACAAGAAGAAAGAATCTGAGTGACCTGACTGTCGAAGGACGGGACAGTAATTTTATGAGAAAAACTTCTAGCTTCAAACTTCATGTTACGCCATGTTAGATGACTCATGAAACGAAACTGGCCGATAATCAAAAAAATTTGAATGCGAAATAACTAACGGCGGCCACGTTGTTGGCGTTTTTGTTCTTCGCCTCACAGTCGCCATCTTGCTTCATTTTTATCTCCATGCCGGAAACGGATGCGTCAACTAACATCGGACCTGCTCCACTTCCGGTGTTGTTGTTGCTCGTGTTGCTCATAATTTTGGAGCGCTGATTTTGTTGAGTGGGTGTTGAAGTTGTTGTAGTTGCTGTTGGTGGCGGTGGTGGTAGGTAGCTGTCGTTGTTGCTGTTGTTGGGGTGCTTGTTGTTGAAGTTGCGATTGTTGCTGTGTTGGTTGAGCTGTGCAGTGGAAAGAAGAGGCAAGAAAATTATTTTACTCTCGTCGCATATGCGTTCAAAATTGTTGTTTCAACGTACAATAACTTATGCGTAAACTTCCAACTTTGCACGTTGTGAGGTGCTTATTCAAAATTTAGTCAACAAAAAAATCCCATTTATAAACACAAACATGTCGATTGAATTTTGTTTTAAAACATCCACAATATTACAACATTCACCGTCTTTGTTCCATCTGATATTTTTTTTCTATCTATTATTTTAAACATCATTTGTCAATTTTTCACGCATATGTAAATATTTCAATTTGTACTTATTCCTATTCGTTAATATTGTGCATATTTCTCGGTAGTTTATGCTCCTGTTGGTTAACCCATCCAAGTTTATTTTTCATGACTGGTGCAAACGATCATAGCCACAAACTCAACTCTTCATAAAAGTCACAAACATATCTACTTATACTAATGAAATAAATCACTCCAGAAACTGACCGCCTGGTAGATAGACTCCAGGTTGGCTTCATACTTACTCCTCAGGGCAACAACTTTCTGGTGGAACTCGATGTGGAGCTTGTTAGCGTTGTACTGGAGCTGCATCAGAGCCCTCATGCTGTCTTCGTCGCATCTGCCATTGTGAGTGCACGTTCGTGAATGAACACACGTTCGTGAATGAACACACGTTCGTGAATTGAACAGACGTTCGTGAATGAACACACGTTCGTGAATGAACACACGTTCGTGAATGAACACACGTTCGTGAATGTGCGTGTGCATGTCGGTGAATGTAGGTACGTGAATGTGCAAATGCGTATGCGAGTGCCTATGTGCCTTATGCGCAATTACAATGTTTCCACGCTCTAAGGCAAACTATGCTTGTTTGGTTTGAGAAATAAACCGATGTTCGTTTTTTATGTGGTGATATAAGTCGCTGGTCAGGACAGTTATCAGTCGGCCTATTTTGCTAACTATATCTTAAGAAACGTGCCAGTCTCACGTTTAACATGGCTGAATTGATCAAACTTGCTGAAAAAATGAACGCATGATGTTACATTTCAAATAAAACTCTATATTTACATCTATATATATCTATAGAAGTATATGGCCTCAGGATTGCATAAACGAACACCGTAATTTATAGGAATGCTGCCAAATACGTCTCATACTACAGTATAGTGAATCCATTCTAGTTATCAGACAACTAAAAAAATGATTTGTAAGTTAAAAATATTTTTACATACATTTAAAATCTTTCTGAAACAACATAATCACACGGACATAATTAATTTTGCCTTACTGATTTGAGATTTTACGTGGTAATGTAACAGCATTTAATAAAGTCGAAACATGTGCATCTGATGAACCTTATATAATTATTACACAATTATTATATAAATATTTTTAGCCAGCAAAACTTGGATCTGAATATTAAAATCTGAAAGGAACCTACCCTTCCATGGCGAAATTAAAGGTATCGAACTCCAGTTTAACAAATGGAAACTATTTTGTCTCGTTAAAATCAACTCAACGGTTTATCAAAATATATTTTTATTCAGAAAATTGTAGAATTTAACTGTCGATAAGAACTTCTTAGTTTTATTCTTCGATGGGAATTTTATTAAAAACAGAAATCGTACGTCAGCGTAAATAACTTCTTCATCACAAGATTATGACGTTTCAAACTTTTGCTATTTTTGAAGCGCAGTATGAGTATGTTTTTACTAATAACCCATAAAAATTGTAATGAGTTATCTCATATTAATTGAATCGGATAGATACAAGTATGAACATTTTCCGGATCGATGTATACCCATGTTTGTTTTAACAGCTAAATAAAACCTCCTCATCTTCTAAATGCGTGATGAAACTGCGTCGGTTGAAAGTCGAATCAGGAAGTGCCAAATTGCTGATAGTTCTCGGCCTTCTAAGTTAGGATAAAACTTGGTACTAATAGTAATTTTACTACAAACCTTGGAGAAGCCAAACTCGCACGAGTGAGAAGTTTACGTACGAACAACCACTGACGATCCTCCAATCAAAACAGACCACACAAGCCAACAGTAATTTTTTATTATTTCCATTTTATTATTCAAGTTTTTTTATTATTTCATTTTATTATTCATTTTATTATTAAATTATAATTTATTTCAAAAATGAACAAAAATATTTATGAAATGTTTGATGAAATTTTTTATATAAAAAAAACACATTTGTATGAAAATCAACCAATTCATCAAATATACCTAGCTTACGTAGTAAGAAACATGCCTCAAAAATAAAATTTTTCTCGTCAATCAATCACTCATCAATCAATCAAATCAATCAATTAACCAACCAACCAATCAATGTAACAATGACCATTATAACAATATCATAAACATTTGCAGAAAATATCGCCAACAACAACATAACACAACACCACCCAGCAGCCTACAGCAGCCCACAACATCACACACCACACAACACTACACAACTCCACATACAACAGTTCACGTACAAACAATTTTTCAAAACACATTCCAACACTAAAAAATCAGCCAATCAACAACATTAGCACTCCCTCTTTTTCACTCTCTCTCTCTCTCTCTCTCCCTCTCTTTCTCTCTCTCTCACTTTTCTTCATTCATTCACCAATCAAAATCTATGCTTCCTCTCGGCAGCATCCTTCCTGTTGTGGTGCACCCTGGTTGACTTGTGCCTCTCCTTGTAGTTGCGATTCCAGAGGACATCTTCGGTCTGACCTTGACCTTTCGGACCTCCTCTGACGTCACGGACGGGATGTGCGTGTCGGTTGACGTCGTCGTCGTTGTTGCCGTGAACGTGGTTCGCTGATGTGTGGTTCGCTGAAGTGTGGTTCGCCGCTGGTGGCTGCTGTTTGTGTGGTCGCTGCTGATCGCCGAAATTTTCTTCTCTGTTTTTTTGTTGTTGATACTTTTCATTTTGTGGAGGTCTGTGGTGCACGGGTTGCTGTTGTTGTTGTTGTTGTGGGAATGCGTTGCTGTAGTTATTTCTCCTGTTGGACGAATGAACAAAGTGTTGAACAATTTTCATACAAAATTAAATCGGAAACTTGTAATGACGATTGCGAAGAAAAGCATTGCAACACTCGGTGGCGATTGAATGATAGCAGATAGAAAGTGAACGAGCCAAATGATTTCTTCAGCTAACACAAGTAGCAATAACATGACGACACTAACTGGAATGATGACATCGCATCACATCACAGAGAAACATCACTGGCCACCAACAACCTACAGGCCTTCGTAAGAAGTACATCCGCGCACACACACGCGCACAAACGCAAACACACACGTTTTGGCGACAAACCACATACAAAATACACGCGAAAAATAACCTTTTAAACACATTACACACACGCACACACACACACACACACACACACACCTGTTGTATGACTTGTTGGCAAACTTCTCAGCCCTCCTCCGTGCTGCCTGTTCTCTCAACTTGGCAGGATCTTCCAGGGACAAAGTGTTCTTCGTACCGGCATGCTCTCCATCATCCCCATCATCGTCGTCGTCGTCGTCACCACCACCCTTATTCTCATCATTCACGTCATCGGGTAATTTATTTTGCGATTTCTTGGCGAGAGATTTGACACTAAGCAGTTCGTCGACGGAATCTGTGTCGAGTTCCCCGTGCTCCGGCGAGTCATACGTGTCGTCATACTCGTCCTCGTACATCCTCTGTCGTCTGGTCGGTTGTTTGTAATTTTCGTCGTCGTTATCGTCGTCGCCCTCATACTCGTATTCATCATCTCGTGATCGGTCGTAATATGAGCCCTCAGTGAACTCGTTGCCGTACAAGCTATAAAGTGGCCTGAGGTCTGAGACGGTGGGCTTGTCGCTTAATGAAAAATTGTCGTTGGTCTTTCGCTTGCCTATGTGTATTCTAGACCTGTCTACATTCGGATTGTTGAAGACATCAAACTCGTCACCGTCGTAAATATTCCTCCTTTGAGACAGGATAGGGAATCGGCTGTCGAAACCATGCTCGCCAGCATCCCACTCGTTCGAGTCATTTCTCCCAACGCACACCTCAGTGGTGGCCTGGACATGCAACTTGCCACTTTCCAGTTGCAGGTCCCTATCGAGGCAGGCGAGGCTGGCTGGCAAGTTATCTTCGAGGAGAGCGTTCAATGTCTTCTCAACATCAAGTTGGAACTCCTGGAGACATTCCTTAATGAAACCAAGTCCCAGGTGAGGTAGCATTTCCTGGATGGAGGTCATCTTGAGTAGCAGGTCATCGCTGATTGTGTTGTTTATCGTGAGTGGTGGCGTTGGTGGCTGTTGTTTGGCGTGCTGCTTGATACTCACACCACCACAGGCACCCAGCAAACTCTCATCCTCCTCTTCCTCCTTCTTATCATCATCACCATCAAAAATAATTTTTCCAAACATACTTCCTCGATCAGATGGTTCATTTTCAAGAGATGTTGATTCACCAGTTTGTTCGGCGCGGTGGTGGTTGTGGAAGGTCTCAGATGCTTCCACGATGACGTCATTGATGTACTTGAACCTCAGGTCATCGACCTTGTAGTTAGTCTGCTCGATTAACTCTCGATCCTCGGATAATGGGAACTGGTGCGAGTAGTCGGCGAGGAAAAGTCGTTTGGTGAGCAGTTGTGTGAGTGCCTCGAGGAATGTTTCAACCGCCTCACCACAATCATGCTCTGATGTTTCACCACTGCTCTCAAACAATTTAGCCAGTGTTGAGTGATACAATACAGATCTAAAAACACTGACGAAATAATATCTGAAAAGTGCAAAGTAGTAATCAACATTCCTGAATTGCTCTTCCTTCATCTTCTCCTTCCTCTCTCCCAGCTTCTCAAAAATAAATGGGACCATCTTCTCGTAGAAGGAGGCCAACTTAACAGGAAGGTGATCCTGGAAGAAGACCCGACTTGCAGGTGGAAAGATGCTGAGGAAGTTGAACAACGTGAACGAAATATCGAGTAAGTAGATGACGACGTCTTGAAAGACTTCGTCAGTCATCGCCAAGGTGTTCCTCTCTGCAGTCGATTCAGGTAACTTTTTCAGTTCGTTACAGTCTTCATCCTCATCATCATCTTCCTCAATATCACATTGCTTATATACAGATTTAAACAACTTGGGTAACGTTTCAGCAACCACTTTCAAATCGTCAAAATATTTCTTCTGCACTTTAAAAATATTCTGCACCATTTTCTCGACCAGGGCTTCATTGGCTTTCCCGTAAATTGCACACATATCCATGATCATAGGCACGTCAAATATGAAATTCTCATACAAAATGTCTCCAAATACATCGACTGGAATCTGGTTTTCTTTATCCTCTTTGTAAGTCGACATTCGCAGACAAACCAGAAAATAAAGTTTGAAAAGGGAGTTGATTCTTGGAAGGAACTTGTCGAAAGTTGCCGTCTGTTTCTCATACGGTCTAGGTGCATGTCTCAGGAATGTGACAACGCAGGCATGCAGACTCTCATCAAATATTGCTTGGCTCCAAAACCTTTTCAAAAAATTAATAAACATTCACGATTGGAAAGTATTCATTAGAAAATTCATTTAATAGAGATTAATTACATATTTTTCGTAATATAAAATTAACTTGTGATGAGAAAAAGACAGAATGTGGTCGAGATCCTCTTCAATCAGTGACGTCATCTCCATCCACTCCCCGACTAAATCATCCCTACCCTCATCACGTGGGGGGGCTCGGTACATTAGGAACTCGATGTCCTCACAGTGCTCGGCCTTGAAGTCACATGACTTTTGTTTCGGATGGCCTACTTCGGTCTTATTGTCATCTTTCACTCTTGATTTTGAAACTTCAATTTCAGTAGTAGTAGCAGTAGTAACAGTAGTAGTAGTAGTAGTAGTAGTAGTAGTAGTAGAAGTAGTTGTTGTTGTGGCGGTGGTGGCAGTGGTAGTAGTAATGGCGGTGGTAACTGTTGTAGATGCAGCAGCAAAGGCAGGAACAGGTTTATTTCGTTTGGCCACTGTCGATTTTTTATTAGCAAGTACAGAAGATTTACTTTTACGTTGATCCATTTGTAATTTTATTTAATTTTAAAATTTCCTCTATAGTTAAATTACTTAAATAAAAATTTCAGGCACCCGAAGCCAAAACGTGTGGTGTCGATCAATGTTATGAAATTAAAAGTGAATCGGGTAAAAGGATGTTTAAATTTCGCAATAAAGCGATGGGCTGCTTCGTATGCTGCGAAATAATTTATTGAAACTTGGAAAGCGTCGGATAGAAAGTTTGAAAATAGTGTTGTAACTTGCACTATCGTCAACTTATTCCATCTCTCTTACGCTCAAGATTTCTGATAGAAAAACGCAACTGCTTCGGACACAAATTTGTTTAAGCGTTCACTTGAGTAACGGTAAAAGAATCATTCATAATCTCACGCATCAAATATGCAGCTCCCTCCTGGTTTGGTTTTGCCACACAACAATTTCAGCAACTCCAATCTCTCAACAAAAAACTAATTCGCTTCAACTATCTACCTGCATCATATCCTACCGTCACTCAGATATTCAACCTGTTGCGCTGTTGAACATCGCGGAAATAGCGCTTTATAAGCTAATTGATTGATTGATTGATTGATTGATTGATTGATTGATTGATTGATTGATTGATTGATTGATTGATTGATTGATTGATTGATTGATTGATTGATTGATTGATTGATTGATTGATTGATTGATTGATTGATTGATTGATTGATTGATTGATTGATTGATTGATTGATTGATTGATTGATTGATTGATTGATTGATTGATTGATTGATTGATTGATTGATTGATTGATTGATTGATTGATTGATTGATTGATTGATTGATTGATTGATTGATTGATTGATTGATTGATTGATTGATTGATTGATTGATTGATTGATTGATTGATTGATTGATTGATTGATTGATTGATTGATTGATTGATTGATTGATTGATTGATTGATTGATTGATTGATTGATTGATTGATTGATTGATTGATTGATTGAACCTGATTTTTAAAGACACATAAAAAAAAATGTGTAATTCACAGACTGGTCAGACGTTTTAAAATTGAAAGATTCTACAGTTCTTCAAAGATGACGTACCCTATATAGCAAAGATAACAAAAATAACAAATAATTGAACTTAATTATTAAGCGCAATTTGACCATTTCTACGATTATAACAATAGCACGGAAAATTGCCACGAATCTTGCCAAAACATGCACAAATTTTTCACTATTCCTCAACACTTTGGTACTATAGACCTCCAGACATTCATATCAATTCTGATATTGCTTTCTCCCACACTTATCTCTTGAATTTTAATACAACTTCTCTTACTACATATTAATCTGCCGAAAGCTTTAGTTCAGTGACGAACATATTCTGTTTGAGTTCGTTGAGGAGCGCTGTTGAACGCTTCATTGTTAGAGCTGTTGAAATGTGATGATCGTTTGACACAATGAAGATCAGTTACTGTATCCGTCTTTTCCAAAATCAGACTATGGCTATAATACATTATCTACTCATGTTTATTTAAGTAATTTTTCAATCGATTTTTATAAACTGATACCCTCATTTCAGTATCGTGAATACGATAAGAACTTTAAAAATAACTTTTATTAAAATTGTGGGGTAGAAAGATATTAAAACTATAAAAAATTTGAAAGTTTTTTATTTTTCACCAAATGATCTCGACAACGTCATCATAGATAACTTGCCACTGTTTAAAAGAAATTTGCGGCATTTGCTGCATAAAGAAAGTAATTTTTATTTCTATCAATTTTTAAGGATATCCTAAAAACTTTATATCGCTTCAAAATAGTCAAAATATGTGAATGCACTTGAAAAACGAACAAACGAATTCGATTACACGTTCGTGTTATCTCTAATTTATACAACACTAATGTATTAACGACTTTAAAAAGCTTTTGAAATGTGATAGGGAGAAGTGCATGCAATTGATTTGGCGTCTACATGAAAAATACTTCAAAGGTTGATTCCGGTGCAAACCATTTGGCAAGAAAGCAGTAACCAAATGTTAATGTGATTGCATACACTGTATGTATATGCATATATACGCGTTTGTGTGTATGTGCGTGTGCGTATATATGTCTATGTGTGTAAGTGTGTGTGCGTGTGTGTGTGTGTTTTTGCACGTGTTAAGTAAAATTTTCATGTCACTGAGATCAAATACCTATTTAAATATAATGGTGAATATCTATTTAGCATTTGCAATAATGGCAATCAAAGGCAATAATGGTTTCATCGAATAAGGTACCCGCTAAGGTGCAGCAATAACGCATTTGAGAACATTGAGTTTTAACTTCGTGATCGAAAAAGCTTTGAAATTCGGAGTTCAAACTGTCAGGGTTGTTAAAAATTATGAATATATCTACAGTGATCACAACGCATTATTAGCATTTTATTAATTGAACACTCGAAGTTATCACGCTACATCTCAAACCATTCCTATTCGTTCGTTACTTGAATTTATTTTGAAGAAAGTCTGGATGTGCCATTAATGAAGTGTATAAATATCCCAGATACACAACTTTAGAATAGAACAATCGACATCTGTTAAGAGTTCACAATTGTGTAAGTTAATTTTAATAATTTCGTAAACATTTTAAAACTTTGTGCCGTTGGAGTCATTTTGAATTTTATTATTAATCAACAATTTGGCTGGGTGGTGACTAAAAAATTTACCAGCAAATATCTTGAAAAATGTAAGCATTAAAATTTTTTGAACGGTACAGATTGGAAGGCAGAGATGATGTATGCGATCACATGCGTTCTGTTGTTGTGTATCTCAGCAGCCAGCCTGGCAGAAGTACTCAGCGAGGAGGAGAAGATGCAAATTTTGGAGAACCACAACTTGCTGAGAGCCAACGAAGGAGCGAGCAACATGATGAAACTGGTTGGTCATCGCGTGCGCTTGATTGAGTTTCATTAAGTTTTTCTTACAAGTGGTTCGGGAAGTGCAATTTGATATTTCAGGTTGTTACATCGGTAAATAATCGAGCAGTGGTGAGATTCAATCGCCAAATAAATGAAACATCACCATGTACCAGTGGCGAGTTAGTCGGGCCGTGGAGGGCCATGCCCCTGCTTTCAACGTATATGCAAAATTCAGCCAACACATTTTAAAATATTAATCTTACTGACGAAATCTTTGTTAATGTACATACTTGCGTTTTTTAATTAGAAAATTTTATAAAAATTGAGCGATAAGTCAAAAAAAGATTGCCACCTTCTAAGTCGAAGTTGTAATCAGGTTCTTGGTCCGACATCAAAGTGGTCTGGATCCGCCCAAGCATAGCTAGCACGATCGTTGGCGTTTAATTTAACATTTCAAGCTTACTTGGTTGTGCAGTGACATCAGTTGCACAAAACTAACTGCCAAAATATTTACACAATTATCAATTCGGATATTGAAAGGTATTAAAAATAAATAATTGTTTATTTTTTATTTTATTTTCGACGTGCGATGAAGAAATGGAGCGACCAACTGGCCGGCTACGCGACGTTGTGGGCGGACAGGTGCGACTTCTCCCACGGCCAGCCAGTGGAAGCTACCTCTGCCGGACACATCGGACAAAACTTGTACATCTCTTCATTACTCCAATGGAACATTGGCAAGGCAGTCTTGAACTGGTTCAAAGAGAAAGATGCATACAACATCAGCCTGAATGCTTGCCAGCCGGACAAGGTGTGCGGACATTACACCCAGGTAAGCTTTCATTAACACAGCCGGCACAGCCAGCCCTGCTTTCCATGGTATGCTGACGTTAAGTGTGATGTTGTGTGTGAGTCTGTTCGACGCGGATATTTAAAATTGAAATTTTGTAGCTGCTTTTATAAAATTTATTATACATATTAATTATGCATATTATATAACATATATGTTTGCACGTACTAGAATATATGTACGTGTGTTGTTTAACTGTATTTTTTTATGTTTTCTTACGTTTCGGACACTGCAGAGCAATGCCGGGGCATACTAGCTGAACATCTGCTTTCATTTCAGCAAACTCATAACGCGTTGTTTCATGAATAACTGCGTATAATCATGATAACGAAAAACGCATGGAGCTGGGCACGGAAATAACTACTGCGTTTGCATGCTCCGAAATTCACTGTGTCAGCCCAGAATGTGTAAGTCCTCCGAAAATGTAAAAATTATCTTTGAGGAAATGTGCAACAACTTGTGTACGTTTAAAAACTCGTACATGATGAACATCTTTCGCCTTCCTGATAAATCACCTGCATCAATCTGAATAATTAGTTACGATGAGTTTTGGTGATATAGAAATATATATAAATATGTATATAACATAATATTCATTCATTTTCATTCATTCATTCAATGATCCTCTATAATCCCTGAAGGGACCGTTGAGGCCGATGGTATTCTTCTATCTCTCCAAAATCCTTTTCTTTCCCTCGCCATCTTCATTGAGCTCAATGTTCCAACCCCCGTCCATTCCGTGATATCATCCATCCACTTCCTCACAGGTCTTCCAACTTTTTTCTTCCAGTCCCTCTTTCTCATCAGTACTTTTTTGATCAGTCTGTCGTCTGTCATTCTGCAGATGTGCCCAAAGATACCCAGCTTTCTTTCCTTGACACTTTCATACACAGTTTTTTGTCTTCCAAGTTGTTTTCTTACGGCATCGTTTCTTATTTTTTGTCTCCAACTGATTCCTAGCAACTTTCTATAACAATTCATCTCGAATGCTTCCGGTTTGTCTTTGTCTCTTTTCTTCAACATCCAAGCCTCACATGCATACATCAATGTAGAAAACACACACGCTTCTACGATCTTTACCTTTGTTTTTGTAGATACATTACCGTTTTTCAATATTACTTTCAAAGATGCAAACATTCCTCTCGCGATTGCTATTCTTCTATCAATTTCTTTTGAACAATTATTGTCATCAGTTATGAGGCTTGAGGCTGCCCAGATATATAAATTGGTTCACTTGTTCGAGCTTTTCTGCTCCTATCTGGAATTCATCATTGTTTCCACCTGCTTCCGAAATCATTATCTTTGTCTTACTGCTGTTGATGTGTAGTCCATGGTTTCTTCCACCATCGTACGTCAACTCGATCAGTTTCTGTAGACCCTCTGCACTAGATGCTAGCAGATCTATATCATCTGCAAACCTGAGGTCCCTTATCACTCTGCCTCCAATGTCAATTCCCTCAATATCTACATTCTCCATTTTTTCCAAGGCTCTTTCCAACAGTGCTAAGAACAGTAATGGTGATATTGGATCTCCTTGTCTACTTCCTATGCTCGCTTTGATCCAGTCTCCCAGCTCTGTACCTACCTTTACCGCCATTGTTGACTCCTCATAAAGCCCTTTCAGCACCCTTACCATTTTTGTTGACACTCCCATACTTTCCAAAGCTGCCCACAAACCTTCGTGCCAGACTGAATCAAACGCCTTCTTAAAATCCACAAAACAATGAAAAGTTGTTTGACCTCTGCTTCCTGCATCTTCCAACAATAGTCTCAACATCAGGATTTGCTGGACTGTATTTCTGTCCTTTCTGAAACCTACCTGCTCTTCTCCTAAATGCTGCTCTATGTCTTTCTCCAATCGTTCTTTCAAGATCGTCAGCATGATCTTGCACATATGAGGGATCAGTGCTATTGATCTGTAGTTGTTGCAGTCTTTCAGGTCTCCTTTTTTTGGCAACATGATCAAGATTGATTTACACCAATCTTCTGGCCATTTTCCACTGTCCCAGATTTCTTGGCAAATTTTGTGAATCTCATTACATACAATTGGTCCTCCCGCTTTGATCAGCTCTATGGAAATTCCGTCTCTCCCTGTGCTCTTGTTGTTCCTCATTTTCTTCATTGCTTTTATTATTTCCTCCAATGTTATTTCCGTTTCTTCCTCATTGACTACTTTTCTTTTTTTTAAAGCCTGTAACACCTCCTTTGTATACGTGTTTTTATCTGTGAACAGGTCTTGATATATTTCGACCATCTATTTTTAATTTGTTGGCCTTCAGTTAGAACATTTCCATCCTTGTCTTTAATAATCCTTGACGTATTCTTCATTTTTCCTTTTAACTGTCTGACTAGCTGATACGCCTCTCTTGTTTTGTTTTGTCCAACTAGTGCTTCTACCCATTCGCATCTATCGTTTATTCATCTTTTATCTGCTCTGGCAATTTTCGTTATTTTGCAACACAGTTGTTTATATTTCATCTCATTTTCGTTGTTTTGTCTTTTAGTTGCTTTCAACTGTCTTCTTTCCTCTACGAGTTTCCAAGTTTTATCACTTATCCAGGGTTTTATTATGTTTTTCCCTACTTCGCATTTTTCGGCTGCAGTTTTAAGCACTTTCTCCAAGTTACTGACTCTTGTTTTCATATCGTACTTTGTTTTTGTATCCAATTTGATTTCTATTACATTTCTGATGTTTTTCAACTTCTCTTTTATCATTTCTGTGCTATATTTCACTTTATTGATATTTTCGCCTGACTTTAGTCTCTTCGTTATTTTCATCTTGAGTTGCATAACACTAGACGATGATCTGATCCAATCTCTGCACTTGGAAAAGCACGGCACTGAGTAACAAATTTCATCCATTTCTGTTCTATCAAAATCAAATCTATCATGTTCGTTGTTTTTCCATCTGGTGATTCCCATGTCCATTTTTTTGTATTTTGTGTTTTTGTGTTTTTGTATTTGTTATATACATTTTTTGGTCCTTTGCAAATTCCAGCAGTCTTTCTCCTCTATTATTTCTCTTTCCTATACCGTATTTTCCCATGACTTCTTCAAAACCAATATTGTCTCTTCCGATCTTTGCGTTCCAATCTCCGGTGATTATCTTAACATCTTTCTTTGGCAGTACATTCAATGTTTGCTCCAGTTGATCGTAGAATGCCTCAATTTCTACATCCTAGTGATCCATTGTTGGAGCATAGGCCACTACCACATCAATGTTTCTCGGGTATCCCTTAAACCTCGCATACATTATTCTTTCATTCACTGGATTGTACTCTAACAGTGCTTTTTTTGTTTTTTCGCCAATAACCATTCCAACTCCATAGACGTGCTCCCTTTCTGTTCCAGACCATAATATCTTCCCACCTTCCATTTCTCCACCTCCTGTCCATCGGACCTCGCACAGACCAACCACATCATATCTGAATCGTTCAAGTTCTTTCTTCATCAACGCGTAAGCTCCTGTCTGCCACAATGACCTGACATTTCAAACTCCAACTGTCAACCCCATTTTCAGTCTATCTTTCTGGGACTCAGTAGCATACTTTACACTGCAGCCTCTAGTCCCCAAAGCTGCAGCGCGGACCTTGTTCACCCGGGCGACGTCCGAGCCGGTATGTGCATACTTTTTTTGGACTACCATCGTGTTATTAGCGTTTTTACGACAGTGTAGCAAGCTCCTGGCAACCATTCTTTTCTATCCGGACTTTGGACCGGCACCTGATATTACTGGACCGCAACTCAGGTGGTGGAGTGTGGTTTTCTGTCTGGATTTGCTCCCATAGCCTTTCCCATGAACAGGTATGCCGCAAGGCAGCAGAGGTTTGAAGTCAGAGTTTTCCTTCTCCTAGGTAAATAGCCGACCAAGGCTAACGAGCTTCACCTGCCCGAAGCAACTGGTTATGGCGCCAGTTATTCGCCTTCGCCCCTTCTCCTGTTAGTTTAAACAGTTCTGCCGCGTGAAGGCCAGGAGTTGGGCTTGGTTGTCAAAGGCTCTTTGAGACGCTTGCCATATGGGAGCATTTTATAGATGATGGGAGCTTATCCCCATTACTACCCCCGGCATTAACAACCATTCAGAACCAAATAACATAATATATAAGAACATATATATAATAACATGTATGAATATAACCTATTAGTTAAATACAGCTTAGCTAACTACATACAAAATCTCGAGCATGATGTTTTACAGGTTGTGTGGGCGGATACAAAAGAGGTTGGTTGTTCAGCACACGTGTGTCCCAAAGAAATTACAAACTCGCCATTCAAGTCTGGTCACATCATCGTCTGCAACTATCTCCCTCCGTCTGTTTTGCTTTCATTCTTTGAAGATCTGTTCTGCTTTTTGTTTGTTTGTTGGTGTTTTGAAGCTTTGTGTGTGTTTGTTTGCTTGTGTGTGTTTGTGTTTGTTTCAAATTTGGAAAAAAAATTACTCTCTTGCTTGAATCTAGCTCCATATAATTATATTTATAACAGAAGTGTTTCAACTGTTATTTTAAATAAATAAATTTAACTGAAATATTAAAAATAATTTCATTACTTATTGAGTCTAAATGTGTCAAAAAAAAATCAATTCAACAAAATTTTCTTTCAAGCTTCAAACACGATTCACTAAATAAATCAGGGGCAACTTCGTCGGCGAGAGACCGTACAAACGGGGCAGAGCGTGTTCAGAGTGCCAGACCTGTGAGAACAACCTCTGCTTGAATTGACGAGTTTGTCCGTGCCCTCTACCCAACACTTCTATGACATTTTGTGACTAATAGTTTCCATGAATTTTAAAAATGTTGCAATTCAGTAACTTATAGCTTCATGTTTTTTTATGCTTGTTGGCTTTTTAACTTTAATTAAAACTTTTAAATCACTTGCTTTGCTCTGGCTAAACCAAATGGCTAAATATAAACCAAACCTGCAATGAAAGATGATTTTTGAAATATCGAAATAAGGCTTAATCTGCACGATGAATTGGATAACAACTGTTTTATTAAATTCTCATGATGAAGTTGGATAATGAATCTTCTTTCAATAAATTAAATAATTTCCAAAAAATTCTAGTAACGAAAATTGAAGAAAAGACATACATAAAATTAATGCCAACAATTATTATATATGTGACATACTTCTTGGAGGCCATAATGTTTGTTATATGGTACCATCCTATGTATTATATATGATACTTTATTAAATAACGTAGATAATATATATTATATATATATATATATATATATATATATATATATAACTATACCAAGTTAAACCAACATTGCCTAAACTAAACAATTTCTATGGTTGCTCAGTGAGACGGCTGACATTTGGATGCAACATGGCCGAAGTTGTATTAGAGTAACTTGCCATTGGGTAAATCCAGATGATTATAAGCGCAACGATGTTACACTTGCCTCAATAAAAAATTAATGATTTGCTTTTTTTGGTTAACAACTAAACCATTGTTCATTTGGTATTATACTCTCGCACATGTGTTTTTAAAATACAATACCAAAATGCAACTCTTGTTGAACGTTTATTTTGTCAGACCAGAAGGATTCTTACTTATAAAAGATATCATTTAACTGATGAATTTTTTACTTAAAAAATGAAACTCATTTAGTGATATATATATATATATATATATATATATATATATATATATAAACTACTGTAAATGATGAGTTATTTCTGAAGTTAATAAATCTATAGGTATTCAGATCAACTACTCATCAGGTACTATTGTATTTAATACTCAAACTTATTACTTATAAGTACTATGTACTCAATTTGTTTTGTACTTAGTAATTATACTTAAGTACATTTTTTACTGAGTACTTAAACTTAAATACATTTTCTGAGTACTTTTATCATCATTGACCACTTTGTAAGATTGTAGCTCCGGAGATTTTGGAAATAATTTATTTATCCTGATTTTTTATATTTTGCAAGAAAAAATCTTTTGATAAAATCCGCTAAAAATTGTCTTGCCTGATAACATATCGATACTAATGTTACACGCGTTTATCTAACAAATTAAAGCATTGCTTAGGCGTAGATTGCTCTATAGTTGCAGTATTCTCTATTGTATTAATGTTGTTAACCTTTAAAAGTGCGTGTGTGTGTGAGTTTCTATGTTAGGAGGTGCGTGAGTATGGGAGGTGCGTGTGTATGAATGTGTGTGTGTGTGTGTGTGTGTGTGGTGTGTGTGTGTGTGTGTGTGGTGTGTGTTTCTGAATCATTTGGAGTTATAATTATTTTTATTTTTGCTTCATTATATGATGATATTACAAGTCATCATAACATTCTGTTTTTGTCCCTAGTGGCTTCCAAATGTTAATGATAACGACAAAGACCAATAGAGAATGAACAAGCGTTTGTAAGATGTTAGCTCATTTATTCATGGTTAGCTCAATTTCTTTCATGGTTTATCTCAACTCTAATATAAAGAATAACTTTGGATCGTGTACAAAGTATGCCACCTACTGTTCGACGTGTTTGTATACCACCACCTGTCTTTTGTTTCATGTTCGCACATCACTTTGAGTTACAATGTTAAATCCACTTTTAAATTGATACGTTGAATTTTTATTAAATTTTTTTATGTAGGAGGAAAATTAAATAAATATCTCAATAAACTCTAAAATGTTTGACGTTTTAGGCTTAACTTGTCCGAACTATGACAGCAAAAACAAAAGTAAATTTCCCAAAATAGTTTATAAAAATTATGTCAAGATTGCTGTCCTGACTTCGCTGTTCTGGTTAGCAACAGCCGCCCTGGTTGCCCACTTTTTCCTGTCAGATGGTTTCAACAACGGTCTGGATTGTACGGAGCTTAGGAGGAGAGCAGAACTCTACAACCAACATAATTTTCAATATCTTGGTCAGAGGGTGGCCTCCAGTTTGAAGGACTACCCCGTCGTTCATGTCCAGGACTTTGGTGGTGTGTCCTCTTGTTGTCTTTGATTTTTCCCTTTTTTTCCCCTTTTTTATTTGTAACAATTATATATTATATAATTTTTATAATAATATAATTTATAGTAACTATTTATTTTATAGATAAATATAAGTTAGTTGAGTAGAAAAGAAATAAAAACATTTAAGATTAGACACCTTTTTTAAGATAAAGTTTGGTTAGAGAATGTTATTTAATTAATTATTTTGAAAAGAAAGCAGAATTTAAATGAGAATCATGTGATTTCCATTTTCAGCAATTCAATTTTAATAGTCATAAATGTTGGGAATATTTCAGGATTCATGTTCGCTATGGTGATAGAAACTTGATATTTTTTCATTGCTAAGTTTTCATTTGAAAATAATAATTATGTTACCATTGAATGAAGGGGATACTAATTTCGCTTGTTTATGATTGATGTTAATACTGTTAACACATACCTGTACATTAATTTGTTTAAAACTGTTCAACTTAGATTGTAATAAACAGCCTGCAGTGAAGAAAAGTAAGAAAGACATGCATTTGATGTGTACTTGTACTGTTTGTGTTTGTTTATGTATGTGTGTGTGTTTCTATGTGTGTTTGTTTGTGTGTGTTTGCTTGTGTTTGTATGTATGCTTATGGATGTCTGTGTATGCGTGTATGTGTTCATTATGTTAGCCTGTGCTATCTATAGTATACATTTAGAAGCATATTATTTCATTTAGTTATTTATTTCTTTGATTTATTTCACTTTCCAGTTTTTTCCACTTTCATTTTTTAATTTTTAATTTTTTTTTTCATTATTTATATCATTAATAAATTTTGTTGTATGTAAAAAAAAACAGTTGGTTTGTTTCCTCCAATGTTCATCATTCCATTTTCCTATGATGTCATCATTTTCCTGATTTATAGTTGATTCATTATGATAATTATTATTTACTGCTATTATTTTTTATCTCACAATGTGTTGCATGGACTAATGAAATGAACACATACACAAACACACAAGCATGTATACAGACATTCGTATGCACAAACACTGGCGAACACACACACACACACTCATAGATTAGTTATTATGTTTAAAAAAATAATAATTAGTTAATAAGACTTTTCAATTATTCAATTTTGTGCTCGTTTGTTGCTGCTGATGGCACTCATTTTTTCTGGAAAATTTTCTTCGTCCTTTTCTATCAGTGCCCCATTCAAAACCCAGACCCATTCTATTAGGTGATGTCATTCATGTACTTCCCTTAGCAGCTATTCCAACATTTCTCTTCCAGTTCATCTTCATCTACTCTTTGCTGGGTTTTATATGTGTATTTTTTGACTTTTTGCCGAATTTAGCAATCTTTCTTTTATTTCATTCTTGTCTCTTGGACCAGATTCTCACATAATGTCTTAATATTGTCTCACATGATGTTCCACTGTTTTCATTACCAATTTCAACATTTGTATGCCTGTATATTGTATTGACTTATTAAATGTGGATTTGTTTAGATCCTTCATTAGCTTTGAAATTCTTTTCACCATGTTTCCATATCACTATAACGTTTTTTTTAAATCCACTTATTTTTTTAATTATTTTTATTTATTTATCATATTAATATTAATTCAATTTAGATTATGTTCACTTGCTATTCAGCTATTAATTTTTTTCAAATTTTCCACTATTTATTTTTATATTTTCTCACTAATTATTTTGCTTTCTCACATGTTTTCTTCTTTCATACTTATAAAGAATGTTGAGATGAGAATTTAGCAAACTGATGTGTATATAATATGCACTCACTTGTTACTTTCCTCTTTGCTAGCAATATGTTAACCAAACTATTGATTCATTCATTCATTTTATAAACCAAGAACAACATCAGGACTGAATTTAGTGTGGCGTGTTGGTAATTTTTGGCACAAATGTGGGACAGAAAATGGAACCATTATATGTGAAAATTCCAGAGACTTGAGAACTGAATAGAGTGTTAATTTGATTGACCAGTCAGTGTTATCTAGATTGATCAGTCGGTGTTAACTAGAATGATCAGTCAGTGTTAACTAGAATGATCAGTCAGTGTTAACTAGAATGATCAGTCGGTGTTAACTAGATTGATCAGTGTTCAACATTCATTGAATGATTCTAACCTTTTCATATAACAAAGGAGGTTTTGTATATAGAATGTGAAGTTTCTTTCGGATCAATATTCAATTAATTACCCCGAATGTTGTTACTAAGTCAGGAATTGAAATTGAAATGTTCAAGAAGAAAACTATTTAGTTTAGTTTAAAGGAGTTTGTCTTTAAACAGAAATGGACCTTTCTTGTGGCTTACACCCAGTGCTAGCTCAAGGTATTTTGCTGCCCAAGGCAAGATCCCATTTTTGCAACTCTAATTAAAAAGTACCAATATATTTAAAAAATACCTTAAAGTAAAACTAAGAGTGACATTCAAAATCGTATATTTACAAAACATTAAATCCAAACAGTACAAACACAAAAAGCAAACAAAATACACAACAAAATGGGCGTGTTTTAACATGATTTAATGAAAGAAGTTTACTTTCTTACTCTTTTCAGATGCAAAAACCTTCAAAAATTCAGTAAAATCTAATCTTATAGGTATGTGCCGCCCAAGGTAGCTGCCTCTCTTGCCTGTGCCTAGAGCTGGCTTACACCTGCATCTGCTGATGATTTAAGGACATTTTATTCTTATATGTACATGTGTATCTGGTGATTGTATAATGGGTTAAAAAATTTGCATTTGTTCACGATGAGCTAATTGGCAACAAAAAGTTTAGAGTTCTTTTTTGATTAGATTTCACTTTTTTGTTGTTTTTGTCATTTTGACAACTGATCCACTCTTTCAAATGTTTATATTTTTTTCTTTGTTGACTAGTTTCATTTGATGTTGCTTACATCATGCTGTTTTAATTTATTCTCAACAGTTTGATGTTTGTGCTTATTGTTTAATGTTTTTAAGCCATACCTAGTTTAGGAAATATTTTGTGCCAAAATTTTATTGAATTAAATTCTAACAAAGATCTTTAATAATTTTAATCTTTGTTTACATCACTTGAATCTTTTAAAGTTTCACATTTTCAACTAGATAATATTTTTTTTCTTCTGTAACACATATCATTCATTATCTGTCACAAACAAGACAATGGTACTGAAAGTGATTTTTAGATGAACTCTGCACCTCAGCTGGTGGTTGTTGCCAGTTGGATGGATTGATTTATTGTGTTTCTCATGTCTTCTCTTTTTCATTGCACAGCTGAGTCAGGTCAAATAAACGCACGCACTGCTTTATAAATAGATTGTTAACATGAAATGAGCTACCAGCTCCAAGCAGCCAACAACAACTCACAACCTCCTCAAAAATTTGAACGACCACAACAGAGGCAGCCTCAAAAGTAGACCAGTTCATCCATCCAGGCAATCGAGTGGGCAGGGAAGCAGTGAGGCCCCCACCATCGTCAGCGTCGACCGGTGACGAGGATGACCGCGCCGACCTGCACGAACACACCGAGTACGACGACAAGAGCATCGATCGAAGTCAGCTGCCCGACGACGGACTCCATGAACCTGGACACAACGGCGCGCCTGTGGTTGTCCCACCTGAGCTTGAGGCCGAGGCGAAGGAATTGTTCAAGATCAACCAGTTCAACCTCGTGGCCAGTGACATGATGTCGCCCAATCGAACTCTGCCTGATATCAGGAACGAAGCGTGAGGATTCGCGTCATGTCGTCGTCATCACAAACATGATCATCTCTCAAATATTCGCATCCTTAAGTTGCAACCATCAATCATTGTTATGATGATTATCATAGTTGCAATTATTTCATCCTGCCAGGGTTTCAATTAATGTTCCATTCACTTTATCATTGCTAATTAATTATTTTATTAATTCATGTCTCTATCAAGTCGTCACCGCCAACCAACCAGCCAATCAACAACCAACTAACCTTCCAACCAATCAATCAAACGAACAACCAGCCAACCAACCAATCAAACAGTTGCAAAGCGAAGATCTACCCTATAGACGAGCTGCCTGACACGAGCATCATCATCGTCTTCCACAACGAGGCCTGGTCGACCCTCATACGAACCCTCTGGAGCATCATCAACAGGTCACCCCTGCAACTCATCAAGGAGATCATTCTCGTCGATGACGCCAGTGAAAGGGGTGAGTGTCGTCTGCTCCGATGGGGGATGTTACTCCGATGTAGGGGGTACTTCGATGTGGGGGGTACTCCCGATGTAGGGTGTGTTCCTATTTAGGGGGTAGTTCGTTGTGGGGTTTACTTCGATGTGGGGGGTGTAATGTCTTGTGACGTCATCAGACGATGTTGTGTGCTGGGCTGTGATTATAGACTGATGAGATGTGTTAAGATGTAATGAAAATTGTTATAGTACAGTGTTATGTGGTATGCTCTGATGTATCACACACACACATACACGCGTGCATATTCACTTGTTGATATGCCCTGCTCTTAATGTGAGGCAAGACGACACACACACACACACACACACCCAAACACAAACACACACAAACAAACACACACACAAACAAACACACGCAAACAAACAAACACAAAAATGCTCACACACGATTGTATGCACACGACTACAAATATATTGATTGATTACAGCTTAAAAAGTTTTCTCATCTACTGCTGCTGCTGCAGATGATGATAATGACGACGACGATGATGATGGTGACGACGATGATGATGACGACGATGATGATGATGACTACGATGATGATGATGATTATGATGGTGACGATGATGATGATGACGACGATGATGACGATGACAGTGCAGCGACGATTTTATCATCCTTAATTGTCCAAGAGGTTATTTGAAGTTGCCCTTTTAAAGTCTAACAATCAACTGGAAACCTCTTTCAAGTATTGTCCCAGACTTCTTATGTAACCATTAGTTATCAAAATTTTCTTGAATTCACAATTCACAATTTGTTTATTTATCAAACCAGTAACGATTTGACCTGGAGACCTGGAAGATTAAAAATCTTTTATCGGCCACCAGTTCAGAATATATGAAAAGTTGGAAAATAAAATATAATATATATAGTTCTGATTATGTCAAAACTATAACATTTATAACAGAAAACCCTTAGATTGAATATCAACACTTATATATGTCACGAATTTAGCTCAGTCGGTAGGAGCGCCGTGTCTTGCGCTGCAATCACGCCATAGCATGGTTCGAATACAGTCTGTTCGATGTGGATAGTACAGTCTTTGTGGCGAGAGGGTTTAGTTTCCAAGTGTAGAATAACATGCGTTTGATGGGGAAGTACTTTGTAAAGAATAATAAAAAAAGAAAAAAAAAAACTTCTGCTAATTAGGTCCTTTAATGTAGATGGTATTATTATTATTCTTATTTTCTAAAAGTTCGGCTTTATTCGTTATCGTCGTCTTCACTTTTACATTCAATCTCATGGTTACTATGATACGTCCTACCTCGGGAAACCGGGTCTCTGGACGAAAAACGAAGATTGATTGATTGATTGATGGTTACTATGATGATGATGATAATGAGGATGAGGATGATGATGATGACGACAACGATGATGATGAATAAAGCAAAACTTGGTGGTGGCGACGATGACGATGATAATGGTGGTGATGATTTTGTTGTTCGCGTGTTTGTTCGTCCGTCTGCCTTGCACCTTACACGAAAATCAATACCGTTCGCGATTGATGTTAATTCGTTTTTAAACGAAACTGAAAGCGTTCTCAAACGCTAGCTGACTTTTTAATGAATAGTCTTTTTTTTAATTTTTAATTTCTTCAAAATCTGGAGAGAAAAATATGTTAGATGTCATGGAGTGAATGATTTTGCACTCTTGTTTACCAACCATTTCGGTTAGGATTCTCATCATTCCTCATGAGATATTTATCCACTTTTTAAATTTTAATTAAATAAATGAATGATAACTCTACTAATTTATTGCAAAGATGATGATAAATATATTGATCACACGTGTTTTAAGTTATATCAAATGATAAAATTTTTACTCATTGGTATGTTAATTCATTCAGTCAGTCAGTCGTTCATTCGTTCGTTCATTCATTCATTCATTAACTTGTATTTTATATATTTGTTTAATTGTTTTATTGATTTAACGTAACCCTTGAATTATTAATATACTCAAATTAATTGCTTCAATTTTCCACTTAATTATTCCTCTGTCGTCATCATCGTCATTATCATCATCATCATCTCTTCGTCGTCATCATTATTATAGTTGTTATTATTTTTACTATCATCATAGCTATTGTTTTTAGTAGTACTGGTAGTAGTGGTGGTATTATTAATAGTAGATGTAGTAGTAGTGGTATTATTAATAGTAGATGTAGTAGTAGTGGTATTATTAATAGTAGATGTAGTAGTAGTGGTATTATTAATAGTAGATGTAGTAGTAGTGGTATTATTAATAGTAGATGTAGTAGTAGTGGTATTATTAATAGTAGATGTAGTAGTAGTGGTAGTAGTAGTGGTAGTGGTAGTAGTAGTGGTAGTGGTAGTAGTAGTGGTAGTGGTAGTAGTAGTGGTAGTGGTAGTAGTAGTGGTAGTGGTAGTAGTAGTGGTAGTGGTAGTAGTAGTGGTAGTGGTAGTAGTAGTATCTTGATTGTCATCATTATCATCACTAACATTCGACACGCCACTCAATGATGAAGCTTCGTCAGTTGTTAATGCTTCAGGGAATGGAATGTTACTTGATGACGATGATGATGATGATGTGAGTAATGATAATGATGATGATGATGGCGATGATGATGATCAGTACGACGATGATGATGATGATGGAGGCAACGGTTATGCGGATTTGGGTGGTGTCGATAATTAAATAATAATTATTATGATTTCTATAATGATGATGACGACGATGATGATGAGGACGACGATGATGATGACGAAGATGTTGTTGTTGTTGATGATAATACTGACGACGTGGCATCTCAAAACGTGAATATGTTGATGCGCTAGCCATATGCTAATGATAGTCACACACACTGCTGCTAATTTGCATATAACGATCTTATTAATATTAATGAATGACCTTGACTCTAGTGCTGATGAATATTCATGACCACCCACCAACCAATCACCAGATTACTTAGGTAGCAGGTTGGATGAATACATAACCCACCTGCCAATCCCGACCTACCTGGAAAGGATGGGTACCAGGAATGGCTTGGTCAGATCCAGGTTGAGAGGTTAGTTTTGTATGTTTGTATGAATGAATTTGTGTGTGTGTGTGTGTGTTTGAATTTGTATGTGTGTTTGTATGAATTTGTATGAATTTGTATGTGTGTTTATGGATTTTTATATGTGTGTGTGTGTGTGTGTGTATGAATTTGTATGCGTTTATATAAATTGGTATGTATGAATTTGTATGTGTGTGTATGAATTTGTATGCGTATATATGAATTTGTATGTATGTGTTTGTATGAGTTTGTATGCGTGTGTATGAACTTGTATGTGTGTGTATGAGTTTGTATGTGTACTTGTAGGTGTGAGCAGAGCCACAGGTCAGACCATCACATTTCTGGACGCGCATTGTGAGTGCACCACCGGCTGGTTGGAACCACTGCTCTATCAAGTGCACATTGATAGGTTGATTGGTTGGCTGGCTGGTTGATTGGTTGATGGATTGGTTGGCTGGTCGGTCGGTTGGTTTGTTGGTTGGTTGGTTGGTCGGTTGGTTGGTTGATTGGTTTGTTGATTGGTTGGTTGGTTGATCGGTTAGTCGGTTGGTTGGTTAATTGGTTGGTTGGTTGGTTGATCGGTTAGTCGGTTGGTTGGTTTGTCGGATGGTTGGTTGGTTGATTGATTGGCTGGTTGGTTGGTTGATTGATTGGCTGGTTGGTTGGTTGTTTGATTGGCTGGTTGGTTGGTTGTTTGATTGGTTGATCGGTCAGTTTGTAGTTAGTTGAATCTGCTTATGAATAAAAAATTAGATCGCTTTGAGCGTACTTCTGCCTGTTTCTGTGAAATTTTGTTTGATTATTTCTACGATTTTTATTTTTTAATTTATTGAATCAATAATTAATTTTTTCTTTCGTTTTTTTTTTCATTCCTTCTTTCCTCCATCTCCCACCTCATGATAATCACCACCACCACCACGATGATGATAAATGACGATGATGATGATGATGACGATGATGATGATGATGATGATGACGATGATGATGACGAGGATGATGATGATGATGACGATGATGATGATGATCAAACAATTTATGCTGATGTCATCGCTGAACTTGCTTCACTCGCAGGAAGTCTGTCATATCTCCACTAATTGACGTCATTGTTGATTCCAACTTCGAGTACAGGTTCGTTGCTGTTTGTTGTTGATCAACATTGTTGCTGTTGTTGATCAACATTGTTGCTGTTGTTGACCAACATTGTTGCTGTTTGTTGTCGATCAACATTGTTGCTGTTGTTGATCAACCTTCTTGTTGTTGTTGATCAACATTGTTGCTGTTGTTGATCAACCTTGTTGTTGTTCAGCATTTTTGCTATTGCTGTCGCTAGATTTGTTCGTAACATCATTTTTGAAGTTGTGTTTTTTAAATGGTAATAATCTCAACTGCGCAACCATAGTAATGATGATGATGTGTGTGTGTGTGTGTGTGTGTGTGTGTGTGTGTGTGTGTGTGTGTGTGTGTGTGTATCATCATTTATAATAACAGCAACAATTACAAGACAATAATTGCCACATAAATAACAAAAATAACAAAACTAAACAACAACAACAACAACTGTAACAACATAAACAACAAGAAACACAACTAAACACCAATAACAACAACATGGACGACAACTAAAAAAGTTAACAACAACATCAACAACAACAACAACAGATTAGTTCCGGACTTATTGGCGGGTTTCGATTGGAAGGTGCTGTTTGACTGGGCCAAGCCGAGACCAGAGGAGATTGAGAGAAGGAAGGATGATGCCACCATGCCTTTCAGGTCAGGTGACCATGTGACCAACCACGTGCGTGCTGACGTAGTAATGACGTAATGATGGATGTGCTGGCTGGCTGTGACGGTGTGTGTGTGTTATGATGTGTGGTGATGTTTAGAAGAGGGTTACACACCACACACACACACCACACACATATCCACATGCTTTTACACACACACACACACACACACACACATATCCACATGCTTTCACACACACTTACATTACACACATACACACCCATTCACACACACTCCCACACACTCACTCACACGCACACGTCATCAAACAAACAGGACACCAGCGATGGCCGGTGGGCTCTTCACCATGGACAAACAGTACTTCTACGAGATTGGCTCCTACGATGAACAGATGAACATCTGGGGCGGGGAGAACCTCGAGATGTCATTCAGAGTGAGTAACGCCTGGATGGATGGATGGATGGATGGATGGATGGATGGATGGATGGATGGATGGATGGATGGATGGATGGATGGACGGACGGATGGATGGATGGATGGATGGATGGATGGATGGATGGATGGATGGATGTATAATTTGGTGGATGAACGAAGGGATGGACGAATGGATAAATGAAGGGATGGGACTATGGACGAAAGGCCTTATAGATAGACAAATAGATAGATAGATGGATGGATAAAAAGATGGATGAATAGATGGACGAACGAATGATTGACAAATAGATGGACGAACGAATGATTGACAAATAGATGGATAGATGGATGGATAAAAAGATGGATGGTTAGATGGATAGATGGACGGACGAATGATTGAATGCGTATGGGTTTTATAAACGTTAATGGTTATATATATGTACATCATCAGCAGTGATGCAATCAGTAGAAGTAACAAAACCCCTAAACACACATTCACTCCCCGCCCCCACCAACCAGTTGTGGCAGTGTGGCGGGCAGGTCCTCATCTCCCCATGCTCGAGGGTAGGGCACGTCTTCAGGAGCATCTCCCCCTACACCTTCCCCGAGGGCACGGACAAGACGGTCCTGACCAATCAGATGAGGACCATGGAGGTCTGGCTGGGCGATCATAAGAAGTTCTACTATAAGTCCAATCCGGGTCAGTTGGGTTATCGGTTGGTGTCTGCGTTGTTGGGCGGTGGATGGAAGAAGGAAGGAAGGAAGGAATGAATGAGTGAGTGAGTGAGTGAGTGAATGAGTGAAGGAGTGAGTGAATGAATGAATGAATGAAGGAGTGAGTGAATGAATGAATGAAGGAGTGAATAAGTGAATTAATAAAATAATTTTGGGTTGATCGATTGAATGAGTAAATGTATAAATATTCATCATTCATTATTAATTCATGAGTAATGAATGATTTCATTCATGAATAAATAAAGGAATAGATGGATGTATGAATGAATGAACGAATGATATATAATATATATAATATAATTATTAAAGTAATAAAATAATATAATATAATAATGTATAGCATAATAAATAAATATAATAATGTATAGCATAATAAATAATGTAGTGTAAAGGTTAAAGGTTACTCTCTTCTTTTTGCGTTTCCTTCAGAGGTTTCAACGACAAACACACACAGCGTATATGAATACGCGTGCAAACCACGCATCATACACATTGCATGTGATAGGCGGGGATCTCTTTGTATTTGAACCCAGTCACTGCAGCAGCAAGATCAGGCGCCTTTAACCAGTGAGCCATCACTGGGCCACACTTGGGCGTTTTTTGTATACAATATTATGATCGATGATATATCTGTTGATGTCGTTGTTGTTGAAATTTGTTGTTGTTGATGTTGTTGTTGTTGTTTACAGCTGCAGCCATCTATGAGGTTGGCGACCTGACTGAGAGGCTGAAGTTGAAGGAGAGGCTGAAGTGCAAGAACTTCGTCTGGTACCTCGACCACGTCTACCCCGACTCGCCACTCCCCAGGAACTTCTACTCCGTCGGGAAGGTGGGTGGTGGTGGTTGTGGCTAGAGGGGGTGGTGGGCTCGGGTTTGATGTTGGGGAAGTTTGTTGGGTGGTTTTTTTTTTTTTTTAATCAAGTCGTCATCATTTTCATCGCTACTTAACAGCAGCTGCATCATCATTAACATCTTTTTTAATGTCATCGAATATAATTCTATCATCATCATCATCACCATCGTCACAATTGCACCATCATCATCATCACCATCATCACCACCACCACCATCATCATCATCACCACTTCACCATGATTGGTTCAGGTGAAGAACGTTGACTCCAACCTGTGCTTGTACGTCTCAACGGATGGAAACTTCATGCTCGGTCTCAAGGATTGCACCAAGGAAGTCGACAGACAGGTCGGTTAGATGGTCGGTTGGTTGGTTGGTTGGTTGGTCGGTTGATCGGTCGGTCGGTCGGTCGGTCGGTCGGTTGGTTGGTTGGTTGGATGGCTGGCTGGTTGGTTGGTTGGATGGATGGTTGGTTGGTTTGATGGCTGGCTGGTTGGTTTGTTGGTTGGTCGACAGGTTGGTCGGTCGGTTGGTTGGTTGACTAACTGCCTTAGCTAACTCGCCCACCATCACACACAACCCACCACACACACATACACGCATACTCACGGACGTACACACAGCACCACACACACACACGCACACACACATGCACATGCACACGACAGGTCTTCTCTTACACATCGGATCTGAATTGAAGACGGGGATCCTCAG